GCAATCAGAACGAACCTGACGTATGAGAAAATTTCATTCGTAATCACAGGGAAGGCAAGCTCTCCGGAGAAGAAAACTTCAGCTTTCCTGAGGGTAGTCAACTGCTTGTAATTTTTAATGCAGCTCTGGTCGGCAGCCTCCTGCTGAGCAACGTTCAATGTGACGTAATTTTCATTAACAGGAAGCCAGGAGGAGGGTCCGTCCGTGAAGCCAGCTAAGGTCGAGTTGTCCCACTGCATTGGGGTTCTCTCAGGGTCACGACTGAACTCCATGTAACGGTCGGGGCCCCAAATGCAGCCCGACGGGTCTTGGGAATCCTCGAACGAAACGAAAGTGTCTTCCATTCCTGGTCGAACATGGAAATAGTGTAAGCTCAACGAAGCTAAAACGAAACCCGAACACATGCTTTAAACAATAATTGTGAGGGAAATGTAAAGGATTACGATAAATTATTGCATCAGGTCGAATTACCTGTTTTTAGATCTCCTGTGGAAAAGTCACGAAAAGTACAATAATTGGCGACAGGCCACATCAGGTCTATTCTTCGACGCCGACATCACTATGTTAAATGTTATGTTATCAATTTGGATAGCCCGAGTTTGTTTCGTCGATGGTGAACGATTCAAAAGAATCTTTAAGACTGGTTTTTAGTGGTCCTGTAATAAGAATACTTTAATTGCTCGTTCTACTTCTTCAGTTACGTCTTACAAGATTGTTAAAGTTTTATCGAATTATAAGAACCTCCCAAAGATGAGAAAACCTGAACGCTAAAAGCGTTGAATTTATACTATAGTATAAATTAAATTAAATTAAAATGGAGCGCTGAAACCCAATCGTCCACACGAATAGGAATACATTGGCTAATATCATCATCCGATTATCATCATTAAAGCATTTTCATTTTCCAGCCCCGACTCTCACATAAAGTACATAGTTTACTCTATTTTACTTTATTTTTTGTAATCATAACAAGAAAAGCTTCTACTTTTATAGCCACATCCTTTCCTTCTCCACGTCAATACAATAAAAAAAATCTTCCTCGAGAAGTGCGACACTGAGCCTCACCTCAGGCCACATGTCCTTTTAAAACACTACTATATAAAATAACCGATCCCTGCTCGCAGCTGCAGAGGCTTCCAACACCACAAGTATTAAACACAATAATACACAATAGTAAAAAAAACTCACCGATCTCCTCGCCGTAGTAGGTAACCGGCGTCCCGGGCAGCAGGAGCGTCATCATGTTCAGCGCTTCGACCAAGTCCTTGCCCATGCGGGTTGCTATGCGAGTCTGGTCGTGGTTACCAAGCTGGCAGGACGAAAACTTCGCTTATTTTGTGATTTGGTAACTCTGATCTGATCAGTCTGGTCAGTTATTCAAGTTCATAAGGACATAATTAAAGCTTTGTTTTTCATGCAAGAATCAAATATTGTTAACATGGAATTCCAGTCTTAAAAAAATAAACACACTAGTCAAAAAAAGAACAAAATTACTCTATATTACTTTAAATATCCGCAAATTTTTTGCAATGAACATAAGAACCTCAACTACCATGAAACATAGTCAAATTCTAATTGAAATTCATCTCATTTAAAACTTCAGTGCAATACCAACCACCCAGTTCGGCCATTTTCCCGCCGGCATGTTGTCCAGCCACTCGGTCACAGTGAACTTTAAAGAAAACCCGGTGACGTCCGATCTATTGTGGAAGTTGTCGATGAAGTTGAAGTTGAAGGGGAAGTCTGCAATTGGCTCTTCCTCCGTTCCATAATATTTCATTACCAAGTCTATCTCTTCCCCAGAGTAAGTCACTTCAGCCATCAGCAATTTACTGAAAATAAAATATGGCATTACAACGGCAACCCCACGCGTCCAACAAGTAAAACTATAACAAATTCAATAATTTTATGAATTTTATATACATGTGTACCTAAGAAGGAAATTACTATCAGCCGTTTCATTTAAATTGTATAACCACCGTGTGGGTACAATTCATAGCTTCCTAAATTGACGGAAATGTCACAAAACTATCGGTAACATTTTTAAAAATTTTAACCTCATTTTTTTCGCGAATATTCTCAATCAATTACCTATCCGGATACTGATCCAGGAGTATTCTCCACTGCCTCATGATATCCAGAGTTTCCGGCTGGTTGGTGGTGTAGGGGTGTGTCAAGTATCCGTACTCATTTGGATCTTGAACGTTAGGATCTCCAGACAAAGGCTCATCAGTGCTCAAATCTTCTACTTCCACGAGATGCTTGATTGCGTCGATCCTCATTCCGTCCAGTCCCTTGTCGATCCAGAACTTGATCACGTTCTGCGAAGGCGCGAGACTTCAATTAATTATCTCGCCAATTGTAATGTTGAAGGTTATAATGTGCATAAAGAACATACGCAGTACGTACAGTACTTTTTAAACATTCTTGATACTCGAATATTGGAAACTGCAAATATTTCCATCAAGATTAACAACTTGAATTTTTCGGTAGTAGAATTACCGAATGTCATCTCGTATATAAAATCTACAACTTGAATTTTTCAGTAGTGGAATTACCGAATGTCATCTCGTATATAAAATCTACAACTTGAAATTTTCGGTAGTGGAATTACCGAATGTTATATCGTATATAAAATCTACAGCAAATATTAAGTGCATTTTAAATTGAATAAAATTTTTCTAAATTGATTTCTGCGCTATGTGCAATATGAACACCTATATAAAAATTTTAGTCTAATAGATATGGATCATGTTCTTAAATTAAGTTTTTATATTTAAAAGTCGTATATACACGCATGATTGTACAGTAAACTGAAACTCACTTGCATCTCAGTCTGCACGGCGGGATTCCTGAAGTTAAGGTCAGGCTGCTTCTCTAGGAACTGATGCAAATAAAACTGTTGTCTCCCTTCCACCCATTTCCAAGCCGGGCCTCCAAAAACACTTATCTATACAAAAATATTAATTACAAGATTTTCACGTAATATTCTGCGCATTACGAGGGCAAGAATGAAATAGTGATCTGAAACTTGGCCTTCTTCAACGCAGGCTTATTGACGATAATCAAGTAAATACAGGGGTTAGACAAAATAAGGGAAACTCCTGACATTTTGATATCGTAATTTCTAAACATGTTATAAACAATAAAAACGTGACCTTTTTGTTTTATTGTTTATTGTTGCTACTTAGTGATATTTTATCCTTGCACAGATATTTTTAGTAAATTTTGATGTCTATTACCTAACCTATGACTTATAAATGGCAAACCTCTCTGACTTCCAAAGAGGATAAATTGGAAGGTGTTAGTGTCCCAGAAACTTTCCGAATGCTTGACGTTTCTAGAGGTACTGTCTCAAAAGTAATAACTGCTGTTGAAAGAGAAGGAAAAACGTCCTCAGCAAAGCACAGGTTTGTTCGAAAGTCGACGTTGTCTGAGAGAGACCGTCGGAACCTAAATCGAATTGTGAGGGGCAATCGAAAGACCACGGCTGTTTAAATTACTGCAGACCTCATTATATAGACACCTTCAGAACCCAGTTTCCATAAAGACTGTCCGCCGAGAGCTGCACGAAAGATTCAACGGACGAGCTGCAATTAGAAAAGCTTTGGTTTCAAATACAAATGCTTCAAAGCGTTTAGAGTGGTGCCAAAACCTCCAAAATTGATCCCTCGAGCAGTGGATAATGTGATTTTCTCTGATGAATCATCGTTCACCTTTCCAACCTCTGGCCGAGTTTACCTTCGGGGGCAGCCAAAAGAGTCATTTAATCACGACTGCCTCCTCCCAACCGTAAAACATGGTGGTGAATCTGTGATGACCTGAGGTGCTATTTCTTGAAAATCCGGTAGACCAATGATTTCTCTTCATGTGAGAATCAATTCCGTGTCTATTTAGGAATTTTGGAGGACCAAGTTCATCCAATGTATCAAGCACTGATTCCGTAGCGGAGCGCCACCTTTCAAGATAATGCTCCTATCTATAAGCTGTAATTGTTTAAAAATGGCACGAGGAACATTCTATAATGAAGTTGAGCATCTCATTTGTCCACCACAATCACCAGACCTAAATATCAGTGAGCATATATGGTCTATTTTAGAGATGCAAGTCAGTAGTCGATACCCGCCGCCTTCGTCATTAAAAGAGCTGAAGGGCGTTTCAACTGCAGAATGGGTTAAAATTCCTTTGGAAACAATTGACAATTTGTATGAATACCTCGAAAAATTGATGCTGTAATCGCCGTAAAAGGTGGACCTGCAACAAATACTAAAAAATTATTGGTGGATTTCTCTGGTGTTTTCTTTATTTTGTCTAACCCCTTGTATATCCGATATAACCCTACATGCAATTTTTTTCACCAACACAATTATTGGCAGGGAATCAAACTTAATAATAATTATTGAGAACTTTTGTTTCTGTTAATGCATCAGACATCACTCCTCTGAGAAGTAACTGATCAGTCGTGTTGTGACCATTGCATGCGAACATGTGGTTCAACATTGCCTGTATTAATTCCATCCTCTCCTGAAAACAGCTGATAGAACCTAAAATTTGCACTGCAAGCAAATGCATGCGTATATGTGGGCCTCAAGAAAGAGAGACTGAGTACAAAATCAAGTTTTCACATGGTTTCAATGGAACAACAACTGCACAAAAATTATAAAATCGAAAAATTAAACTACTTAATAAATACAGTCTGCTGTAAATTGAGAATCATCAAGAGATAATAGATATTTCTAATAACCAACGGACCCAGTTGTTGGGAGGAAGTGGATTGCCCACTTCATCGAAGCCACTGGCATTGGACCAGACGTAGTAGTCGGTATATGGGTCTTCTTTGGCAAGGCTCTTCTGGAACCATTCATGCTCGTCGCTGCTATGGTTTGGCACCAAATCCATAACCACCTTCAGGCCTGGATCAAACGTCAATAATAGATATTTCTAATAACCAACGGACCCAGTTGTTGGGAGGAAGTGGATTGCCAACTTCATCGAAGCCACTGGCATTAGACCAGACGTAGTAGTCGGTATATGGGTCTTCTTTGGCGAGGCTCTTCTGGAACCATTCATGCTCGTCGCTGCTATGGTTTGGCACCAAATCCATAACCACCTTCAGGCCTGGATCAAACGTCAACATAATTTCAAAACAAATCATTCAAAATTCAGTCAACGAGTTGTGCTTCCATTCCAAGTTACTTATTCAGTACAATGTTAACTTTATGTTTCTCTCACCCAAGTCGTGCGCTGCTTGAAGAAGATTGTCAAAATCTTCCATCGTCCCGAAAATGGGATCGATCGCCGTAAAGTTCGAGATGTCATAGCCAAAATCAGCCATTGGGGAGGCGAAAATAGGGCTCAGCCAGACGACTCCGATCCCCAACGATGAGAGGTAAGGCAGTCGGGACGTGATGCCTGTAGTCGGATAGTATCTCGATAAGTGTAGCTAAAATGTTTTTTTTAATAACAACTTACCAAATACACAAATCAAATGTATAATTTGTTGCAAATTCAGTTTCATATGAAGGATTTCTTTTAAATATGTAGACGAATTGTGTTCATTTAGATCACAATTGATGAATTACCTATCTATGCTTAAATTTGTTTCAACGATTAAGGAACAAATTGCACAGAGAGCTGAATTTTAAATCGTTATCCTATCATTCGAGTTACATCATTCATTACGCTTATTCTCTAACCTTTGATGTCCCCCACTCCATTCTTTGTGGTGTCGCGAAATGATCGTGGATACACCTGATAAATCACACTTCTTTTCCACCATTCAAATTTTTTCTTTTTGTTGCATTTCGATTCACTCTGTAATGCCTCAATACCGCGTTTCTCTAATGTTTTGGGTCCAGATTTTGAGTTTTCCCTTATAGTGCAGGTTTTCTTTGACTCACTCATTCTTACTATATGTATGTATTCTCGGCGGAACTTTAAATTTATCTGAACTTCTTGATGTACCTAAATCAAAGAATAAATAATTCATGTGGTAAGTTCATAAATTATTTAAATTAAATATCCGAACGAGAATCAGTTTTTCTCTGAATCATGACGTTAACATTGGTGTAATTTGGATGACATGGCGATTAATCTCTTCTGTCGTTGCTCATGAGTCACGAGCTCAGTGAGTGGAATTTGAGGCTGCTAGAGTAGGTGCAGGATATTCAAATCATCGTCAAAACTAATTCATCGTCATCCCACAGCTGAACTTAGCTCCATGCACTTCTTATAAAGCCTAAAATAACTTCTTTACGGACTCCCAGCACAGTCGAGACCGGCGTTCAAGGTTCAACTGCCAAATTTTCTTTTCTTTAAAGAAAACGTTACTTTGCATCTTTAACTAAAAGAAATTTTGAAAGCCTGTTTCGCATTACGTTATGTCATCACGAAAAGAAAATGGTATATGCTTCTAAAATGTGCTCATGCTAGCTATTTTTGAGATTATGAAGAAGTTGTTGGGCAGAGCTAACTCAAGCCTAGAACAGTGGCTGTCTCTGACACAAAATCTTTTAGTAATAAATTTGCGATGAAAATTTAAAACAATTTTCATTCAAAGACCGACCAATTTCATATTATTGCAATCAAATTATTAGCTCTTAAGGTGAACTCTTGAATAGTTCCAAAGTACGACAATAGAGCCTTTTGTTTGAGGTATAATTACTCACGCTGCACGAGTAGCAAGGACAGCCCCTATTACCGTAAGGACAAACAATGAAAAGAATGCAGTATTCAGATAAAAATTTTTAGACGGCATTCTTGTTCAATGCTGAATTGCCAGCGACACTTAGAACTCTGAAGACCGAACAACTTTATTACAGAACAGAACAAGTAAAGAAATTGTGTTGTGGATATTAAGATAGCTCTTATATAAGAGGAAAAGAATCATGCCACTTGTGCAGTTTAGTTTGCATCTGTTGAACTCCCACGCTGGAAATAAGTAGTCTGAGTGATAAGTAGTCTGATTTTCTCGAACATTCTGCAAGCAAAGACCTTGTTCACTATAAAGAGGGATCGGGGAATTGAGAGTGACTTGTTGCAATTCATATAGTCGGAATGAAAGTGTTACCTGATCACTTATGAGTCTAATCATGGACTCATAAGTGATCACTCAGGGCTCCCTATATGAGTGCTGCAAATATATCAATTATACATACTTCTGATGACAATTCTACCTATAAGAGATCTCTATTCCGGATAAACATAAGGTACTTTAATAATTTCATCGTGGCTCTGTTAATTAATCATAAACTGTTTTTGCACTTTGCCCTTAGTATATACTTTTGTTTTGAATGTCCTATGCTATTAACTCAGCAGAAATGCGCATGCTTCGAAAACCGCTGAGAAACATGAAGGTGCTTGATTTGTGCATGACGTGGGGGAAATGTACTATCTGTCAGAGATAACACAATAATGCGAAAGATAAAACACTACCTAAGAACAAATGTTAGGTTTTTAAATTTTCATCCTCTAGTATTTACCTAAATTTTATTTAACCACCTGCTAACATGAAAATTCAGTTTTTCGCCAATCAGGACTTTCCACCATGTTGGGATTTGGAACCTTTCGTACACTTATGCGACCGTTCTCCAAGATTCATTGAACATAAAGTATCTCTGAAACTAATGAAGGCAATTAGATGGAACTGCATATGCATTCAAGACCTAGAGGTGATGCTTAGGTCGTGACGATTTTTTTTCGATTTCTCCTTCGTTTCTAACATATGTATACGGGCAGTGAACATAATAATATTTCTGTTCACTGTTTTTATCCTCTCGTGTCTTTTTTAGCCACTTGTAACGTGCCCTCGAAGTTCGATCTGAACGAGACGCCACGACAATCTCTTCCTGGAATAATAATATTCTATACTACTTTACAGGTTTGCACGAAACTGTGAATATATATTTGTGAATATATATATGTGAACTACTACTTAACGGTTATATTTAACTCGCGCAAACATTTTCTAATGAGGTTTAATTCGCGAGTTATTCGGCTATAAGTGAAGCGACCGGTGTTTCTGCGACCGATAGTCAAATTTGCACTGAACATGAAAAAATATTCCAAATTAATTAACGTAGGGCAAAGAAATATATATGGTATTCAATAGGACCAAAGGGGGTGATTAGGCCGTGATCATGTGTTCGATTTCGTCTTCGTTTGAGACGGAATCCAATACACAAATTTAATTTGTATGAAGTATTATCACTTTATTACAGTTCACTTACATTACAACCTAATATTGAAATGCAAACTATATTTGAATGTTTAGTCTCATGTAGCAGTAATGTAGAAGTTGTGCAAATATCGCTACAAATATTTTTACAGTGATACATGCGTACCATGATACTTCGTATCAAAATGGTTATCGCTCATATTATTTGCATTTAAAATTAAATATTTATATATGCCTTTTCATTATCATATAAATCATCATCGTTGCAATCACAGTAATAGAGCCTTGATGAATGCCCTATAAGGTAGAAACGAAGGCGAAATCGAACAAATAATGGTTAGGTCCTAATGAATGCATGTGCAAAGTTTCAGCGAGAGACGGATGTGTTTGATGTGTTTGAGAGGTGGAGTCTCACTATTTATTTATAAAATTTATTAATATCATTCATCTCAATTAGATGGTAAATGCTTCGATTCGGAAAAAAAATCAGAATATCATTACATCTATACGATTTCGGCAAACAAAATGAATTTGATCAAGTTTTAGATTAGTTTAAATTCCGATGTTTAAATTCATAAATTTTGTAACGAATTCACCGTCCGCGAACATGGAATGTTTTTTTTTCGAACTATCCGCGACTTCAGTGGTTCTATGATCCGGTCTGAAGCAGTTTATATTCGTTGCGAATTTTTTTCACTGCGAGGTCGCCGACATTGTCACCTTTATAGTCAAGGTACGTCTGCTGCAGCGATACCCTGGAGCAACATTCTAGTGGTAATGCCGCGGGTGCCGTCGTGCTGACTGCCGGGACGACAAGAGTCAGTTGCGACTTGAGTGTAGACTGTGGACGACCACATCAGTGATGTCTTGGCCATCGTCTGGTTAAGGTGTGTGGTGAGGAATAATTTAGTGCCGCGCCTCAATATATAGTTACTTCACTCTGGTTGGGCTCTGAACTATACAAAATGACAGCCCGTACAATGCATTAACAACAATTTTATTTGAATGAACGCTGTGTGAGCAAACTAGATCGTATAATGAGAAGTTGTCACGAGGAAGTGTTTACTTTCAGCTATGAATCAGTAACTAAATTTACCAAGACAAAAAGGCGGGGATGACATATTTATCAGACATTTCCCAATAAATCAACACTGCTTGGCATCATTAAATTTAAAGGTCTGACATTAAATACATTATTGCAATTTATCATCTATTTTACAAGTAACTCGCCTCGACTCATAACAGAAAATTTTTATTACAAGAAAATATGAAGCATGTAATTCTAGTGATAGCAGTAAAAAAAATGTCGCATCGATGTCAGGAGTAGAAATTTTTTTAAGGGAAAAGAGACTTTAAGAAGGTTTTATATTTTTCTGCTGACTCACGAAGTTGCAAGCCCGCTGCCAATTTAATTGAACGTAAAAGGAAGCAAATCGCTAAGTGCGGGCTGTTAGACCACTTCACACGTTGCTCACTAGTTTCTATGTCAAGTATCTTAGTATTCACTATGATACTCGCTTTGGTCCGACGATGTTTGCATCGCGAAACTAAAAATTAAAAACTAAATCTATAAATATTGATGAGGGCATTTGTGAATTTGGAGCCAGCAATCTTATACATTACTTTGGTCTTATCAGCCACTTCTGTTTTTCTTTGCGGGAAAAAAGTTCGGTTTTCTGTAATTTTGAAGCATATTTAGTTTTGTAAGCTCGATAAGAAATCTACACGCTCGAAATTCTCTCAGAAATGTCTACGAAATAAATTAATTTCGTGGGCTTTAAAAAATAAATCCCTAGTGACTGAGGATGCCATCAAGCCTTATTAGACTCGAGCGTCCTGAGATGAAGCGCCGTTTTGGAAATTAAAATTTGTTAGACCTTGACTTGGTGGCAGTAAACCTGTAATTATAGGAAGCCAAGGTCTCGTTCATTTGTTCTGTACTCAGCCTACTCCTCTGTGCGAGGTTCGTTCATGATTTAAAGACACAAGTTATTTTTGACTGACCACTTATGTTCTCTATTGTGGGGGACGACGACTTGTCTGTTGTATCAATATCGATTTTAAATAATATCTTATATCATTCAATAGATTATCTTATGCAAGACACTGCTGTACGAATACTAATTTATGAATTAATTTGGCTAGTCATTGATTGTTGGAAGGAACTATTTACACTTGTCTTTTCAAATGATTATGGTCTATTCATGACATTTTACAGAATGGGGAAATATCATTTTTCCTATATTCCTTTCAAGTCAGGCCACGAGGGTTTAGATTTTTTAACATAAAATGGTAAAACCGCTGTACTCTTAAAACGCCGGACTGTAAAATGTACATCACGAGTTGCTTGGTTTAATTAACTAAACAGGTTCTCGAGCGGCAGCCATGATCTATCGCTCCATGTGTTAAAACTGGTTGGCTTCAGAGGAAGAATTTTTATTTCGCAACTACTTTTTTTCTGCTTCTTTGAGACTATTTTTTTACTATTTGCATAACTTGTTGTAGAAGATAGTATTATTTGTCATTATTTATGATTACAATTATTATGGGTTTGTAAATAAATCTTCCTTTCTTCCTTAATCTCTTGTATGATATCACATCAGATGCAGCTAGCGTCGTATTTTCTTGTTTGAACTGTTTAACTTTTTTGAAAGTGCATATCGATGCAGTTCGACGATTGCGACAATATCGAATGCAAGGAGAATTTATATTATATTGTATTGCCCATAGCAACTGAATCGTGTCCACCGTAGTGTCACTATATTATATTCGAAAAACGCCTTTAGCTTCAATATGTTGAAATATTGAAAATATAAATTCCAATAGTATTGTTTTTATTGTATCATCAGAATATTAAATACGAAACTTATTTTTACTCTGATCTTTTCACTGATCTTCTTCTACTCTGATCACTGAAATCTTAACCGTATAAATTTTCAAATGATTTCCGTTGAAAGACACAACAAAGGACACAATTTAATCGCTCAGTAAAGACCAATTAAAATGAGTTGCACTCGTAAGGTAGTAGTACGAACTTGAAGCCTCAAATGACAATGGCAGGTATGTTTCATAATTAAAATTCGAGTTTTATTTAGTTATTTCGAAAGTATTCGTATACAAAACACCTCTAATTTTTTATTGCCACCTCTAATTTATTAAGACTTGAGGTCGTGCAATTCAGTCACATATTTTTTCTAATTCGCGCACCTGTTGTTTAATTGTTAAATTTACAGCTTTATAGTTTGATAAGAGAAAGCGAAAACCTCAAATAAAAGTGGAGACTTGACACGAATGTAATTTTATGAGTCAAGACGTGTAATGAATACCAAATTTCATTCATGTACCTTGTTTTTCCGTATCTCTTAAGGAGGGTTAAGGAATTTTCCCTAGTATATTGTATTTGCATAACCGGAAACTGCACAAAACAACGTCGCCACGCGCGTGCGTAACGAAACTATGAATGGGACTGAGCATCGCTGCTCATGAATGACGGCGTAGTATGTATACGTATCAGAACACTTAGGAATTCCCTGTCTTTATTTGGGTATTGTGCACTCGGTTGTGCGTCATTGAAATTTTAACCCGCTGGAATTCTCCCTTCTATTTCAACAACATCGTCACTTCTTGTGTGATCGTTTTTTGGGGGGACCAATGCCTTCAAGTCTAATACATAGCTAGTGATGTTCTTGTTACTCGTATAGTTGAGAGAGACTCTTGGTGAATGCAGTTAGTGTCAGGCATTGGTGGCAGTTAGTGTCAGGAGTTAATTGCAGTTAGTGTCAGGAGTTAGTGTAAGACTGTAAGGAGTCGTAAAAATTAGTGTCAGCAGTTAGTGGTAGTTAGTGCATAGTGTCGTAGCAGGTAGTGTCATTAATTGACTACCGGTAGTGTTAGGACCTGACTACCACTTTCTACAAATACGTATTTTTATGTGTATTCATGTCCCTTTAACTGTTCTATTTCTCCAGCATAAAATAATTATAAATCATTGCAACAATCTATAAGGTTGTAATATTTGTGGTATTGTTTTCTTCATAATATTATATCGATATTATAATATCCTGTAAATGGAGCACAAAGTTGCCCTGGTGACGGGAGGAGCGCGTGGGCTGGGCAGAGCCATCGCAGAGCGTCTCCTCGATAACGGACTCAAGGTGAGCCTCGAATCTTGGCGGTGATCGAATGGTTTGAAGTCGTGACTACTTTATAGGGCTTAATTAACCCTCTACCGCCTGACATGAGTAACCGGTGCAATATTGTCGCAAGCCTACTTCCCGAAAAGGATGCGTTCTAGTGAGCGCAAAATGACTTGCACTGATGGTTGCCGCCACGTAGAACACTTTAAAATGTTCTCTGTTGCGTACAAAGGTCCTCAGGTTGCTAAAATCAATCATTTACGTATAATTCAAGTTGAAAGTTATGTTCCCAGAGAGTGACATACGGCGGTAGAGGGTTAATACTTGACGTCTTGGCTTAGCGTAAATTCATTAGAAAACAATTAATTGCCTTGATAATGTGCCTTGATGAAATTCTGCAGGCTAGTGGTTGAATTATAATATTATCATCGGCGAATCGAATTCTGCAACAATATCATCTGTATTTATTTTGTTTAGTGATTCTAACATGCGTGTGAACGACATTGAGTAACGCCAACTGCAAGTCTGCGTTAATATTCTCACTTGAAGAGAAATTCGCCACATCTAATATATATCATTTTTCTTTATTATGGTTTATACGAATGGCTTAAGTGTTCCATGACAAATTTATAGTTCATGTTATTGGATAACTGTTCTAATCAATAGTTGTACTAAAGGATACAAGAAGGAGGTTTTGTTACTTGAGGTGGTCACTCTCTCACCCGTACCTTCGGCGCTCATTGAACTCCTTGAGGTGCAGTGCTGAAGCATGTAGAGTTCGTCTTTGTGTTACGTTATATGCATGGTCGCTCTCTCACCCGTACCTCAAGTGCTCATAAAGCTTCAGCATGTGCAGTGGATCTTGTTCAACGAAGGCATCCTGCCAGTCCACTTGTAGGGTCACTGCCACAAGTTCACAAGTCTAGAGGCTCGGTGACGCGGGCACTGTGTGACAAGGATAGGCAAAACTTGAGGACAAACATTAAAGATGTCTTTTAGAGTTACAGTTACTTCTTCCCAGACCATTCGGATAGACCATTTGAGAGAAAAATATTCTTTTTTTACTTTTACCTTCGTAACCAACAGACTTTTAAATTCGTCTCTCATTAGAAGGTTAGCTTCAGTCGTCCGAAGAAACAAAGAGCAAATTTAAGAACGTTCAATTGGAAGCTATTGGTTTTATCAAACTTTTTTGGCAATTGCCATACATCCCATGCATATCTTAAATCTATATTAATGATAAAGTCAATTGAACAAATATGCTCTAATTTTTAACATGCATCGGGGTATCTCTGACATCACGGCTGTAACAAGCTCTTGCGTTGAAAAATAAAAAACTAGCTGTATGATCATGCAAGAGGTAAAGTTAAGTTCAGGGCACCCTGTATAAGAGCATTGAGTTGTGGGTTAGGTACCCGAATCTAGCTGTGAAAATCCATATCAAAATCGGCGAGATGGCTGAGGGTTTAGAATAGCAGTTTGAGGCAGTGAGTTGAGAGTTTACATACCAGCTGTCTGTTAAAATTCTTCAAAATCTATAATCTGACGAGTCAGATTTCGCATAATCAACGCCGCCACCTCTAGTAATAATTCTTTGCTCTAAGGTTTGCATTGCGGACATCATGGAGGAAACCGGCCGCGCCGCTGCGCAGGAGCTTGCAACGAAGTACGGCGAAGAGAGGGTGGCTTTTGAGTGCTGCGATACATCGGTTGAGCAGCAGTTCAGTGGTGGGTTGCTGCTAATATAAATATCTTGAAGGCTTTAGAGTGGTACGATACTTCGGTTGAACAGTAGTTCAGTACCGCTGCGCAGGAGCTTGCAACGAAGTACGGCGAAGAGAGGGTGGCTTTTGAGTGCTGCGATACATCGGTTGAGCAGCAGTTCAGTGGTGGGTTGTTGCTAATATAAATAACTTGAAATCTTTAAAGTGCTGCGATACTTCGGTTGAACAGCAGTTCAGTGGTGGGTTGCTGCTAATATAATATCTTGAAGGCTTTAGAGTGCTATGATATTTTGGTTGAACAGCAGTTTTGTGGTTGGTTATTGCTGACGAAAATACTCGTCTACTTCGATCGGATTCGCAAGGTTATATTTGCAGTACCTGATTAAATCCGCTTATGCCTGCAAACAATAGATAACAAACAGCGCCTCAATTTATCATAGTTTCAGTTACACTTTTTTTATTCGAATTTGGGTAAATATTGCCTAATGACATGTTTGGCTTTGGGCTCCCTTGAAATGCTGATCCGACGCAAAGTGCGGCTTGTGATTTGTTGACAACTTGCTTACCTGACGACAGCATATCATCGAGGAGCTGGCGTTCTGCAACATCATCATAAACGTATTCTGATGCTATCTCTTGACAAATTTCTTGGTAATTCCTTATATTTTCTAAATATTGCTGCGGTATTGCTCAGCTAACATCAGCATAAACACTGCGGATCGAGTAGTAGAAAAATTACAATGTTATTTTTCGCCTACCGAGCAAAGAGGTGTTGCGGGATCGAGTTTACACGGAAACTGATTAGAAAACGAAAGCAGAAACGCTGTCTGTATTGTATTATTTTTGTATTTGTATGAGAATAATGGCTTCAGTTGTATTACTAGTTATACAAAACATTCTCTATTATTTGAGATACTAAATATATTGCGACATTTTCTACTGATAAAAACTTATTGTCAATTATTTCTTCAGACGCTTGGACGCGCTGTGAGGAGCAGCTGGGCAAGCTGGACCTCCTCGTCAAATTGTATCGGAGGTTCATGCCACGTCAAAATTTTTCTCTTGAACGCATGCATAATGCAGCTTAGACTTGAGTCAATAGAATTAATTTTTAACTAAGAAAATGCCAATGAATTTACTTATCATTATCATTTCCTATTTTCGTTCTGTATTTATGTCATATTATCAATAAAATACTTAATGGAAATACTCGTCAATTCTAAAAAAATGCTGTAATTCTTCGTTTTGACAACTATTCTAATTGCGCTGGTCTGCCTATAACTTGCTAGTTAAATTAACAGCTTCTTAGTTTACAATTACAGCAAATTTCCAATCTTCCTGATGCTCACTCTTCAGTTTTTTCATTGTTTTAGTATGTCAAATTATTGCAGATTTAATATTTCTGTCATCTCTCCTAACGGTAATTATAGCCCTATCCCATCATATCAGGAATATATAACTATTCGAATATAGAAATCGATGAAAAATATTCCCAGGATGAAATCTAATATATAACTATTCAGATTTATACTGTCAATTACGTTGCCGACATATGTAGTTCTCAATCATTCAACTCACTCAATTTATCATAACTGATATAATTTAATTTCAACGAAATGTTTTTTCCCTCTTTGTCCTCAGGGAGGTTACATCACAGGGAGTTTGTTGGCGTTCGAGCGCATGCGTTCGGTGGGTGACGACGCGCCTGGCGTCGGTGGTACTGTCATTAATGTCGCCAGCATCGCGGCCATCAAGACGCTGCCCTTTGGCCCCATCTACTCGGCCACAAAGAGCGGCGTGGTCGGCCTCAGCAGGGCACTGGGGGTGAGCCCTAATAATGCTTAAAATAATTATAATTCGAGATAGAGAATCGTCATAATTTTTCAGGGGGCTAAGAAGCTGTTCACTCAAGTTTAGTAATATTGATGCTGGTTCGAGTTGGGAAATCAGACAATCGAAAGGGATTTCCAATGACTCAAATGTGGTAAACTTTCTACGAAAAGCGTTCAACTGAATCAAGTGCTGACGAAGAGCAGTTAATAGCTTTTTGTTTGTGCATTTCATAATCAGTACAACTAATGACATGTTAATGATAAGACAGTAATAATCATGGGCAAACGGATGCAGGAATAGTTGACAAGCCAAAAAGTTCGCCATCATTACGCCGCTATAATCCATGCATGCTCACTGTCATTGTGTCGACACAGCACCCACTGCACCACAGCCTGACGGGAGTCAAGGTGCTGTGTCTGTGTCCGTCGCTGATCAGCGGCACGCCCTTCCTTCAGTGCGCCATGGAGAAGGCCTTCTCCCCAGCCGTGGCTAAGGCGCTTCAGGCCGCCGGCGGTAAAATAAAGCCCTTGACGTGAGTGTTCACTATAGCCTTATGTATGTATTGAATAGTTTTAATTGCTTATCCCAAAGAATCATCAGTTCATCGTTATCACTTGGGAATATTTTGATTACATCTGCAGTGCGTCAAAATTTGTGTTAGGATCTTACTTGAGGAAGAAATTGTCCAGCAATTTGCTAATGTAAAACTCCGTTAACTAAACCGTTATTGATCTAAATCGACTGTTTTCATCGTGATATGTCCCATACATACGCCCATTATATTGTTTTAGAGATGACTTCTTCGTGTAAATCAATAATTTATCCATGATGACGCTGCAGAGTGCCGGAGGTTGTGGAGGCGTTCAGCAAGCTGCTGGAGGAAGAAGTGAACGGCTCTGTCCTGGTCGTAGAGGCCGGCAAGGAGCCCTACTACAGCCTTCCAGAAATTCCATCGTAAAATTCTTTCTTTGGAACTTGTTCGATCATTCCGGAGTCTCGTTAATAAGTTGGAGCATGACATTGATGCGTTACAGTGTATAGATATTCATGTACCGGCACATATGGAACGTCGTCCCATGTCATGTGTTTCACTTTCCATGGATATTATCACAAAGCAATTTTATCCGGTTTTTACTTTTTATAGTTTATGCTTCAATCGTCGAAAATTTAACAAGGGTGGTTAGTAATATCGAAATTTTTAACTAGACTTGAATGAGATATTTCTTATCATTTCATTTTTAACTTCTGTTGTTGTTTTTGCATGAGGTTCAACCATAGTTACATTTGTAGCATGGCTTAGGTTTTAAATTTTTCGGAATTATTCCTATTTTCTTGTATTGACTTCACGGCTTATGCATTTGATTGTTTCCTTTTTTTTTTTTTTTTTTTTTTTGTTCTTGTGTTGGATTCTTCTAATCTTCTTCAACAAGTTAATGCACAGTGGCATCTCGAAATTCGTTTAAGAAATGTTATTAGTTAGAGAAATAATTGTGCTTACTAACACTCTCTGCTACTAAACTCTTTGGTCAATTAGGCAGCTATTTAGTTGTATCGAGTGAACGCGTATTGTATTGAGTGTACACGTAACTTTGTATTGTGATGTTTGGTTCACAGATTTAGGAAACATGTACAACATAAAGCGATGATAGCAGAGTGGTCGAGTGGCAAAAGTTCAGAGAACCAAATTGGATCTTCGAGTTGTGGGTTCGATACCTATAGCAACTGTGCAAAGTACTACTGGTCGAAACCGGCGAGGTGGCGGGTCGGCGAAGCACAGGATATGTGAGCAATGTGTTGCGTGTTCGAGAACCGCAACAAGCTGTGAAACTGCTACGGTGGTCAGAATCGGCGATACGCCTAATTTACAACATTTTTTACGCTGACGCCTGTACTTTTATTACGACTTGTTTCTATCACGTATCAAGGTGGCATGCGAAAGGCTAAGTTAGAGCATGCGTAGTAAAAGCATGCGAAATATGCGTGTTCGCGCAGATGAGTTTTTGCAGGATAAAATGGCATGTCCGGATAAACGCCTCGGTTAGATAAACCTTATCTGTGTACCATCAAACTTTTACGTTTTATCTGACTAAAGAAAATAATTGTCATCAAAATTAAACCCCCACAACATTTCTTACATATGGATTGCACATTTCTAGGGCTTCCCTTTATTGAAGTGCCGTTAATATTATAGATTACTCACTTATAAATAATTAACCAAAGTTTCGAAAACGACGGTAATAACTTTGAACAAGGTGTGTTTGCAGAACCATGTGCAGCTAATATAATCTTTAGGTTATATTTCATCTGAGACCATCAATGTTAAGTTTTCATTTTTTATATACAAGTCATTTTGGGTGACCAAGCCGCTGCCTCACCCTGAGTTCGGTTGGGAATATTGACATTCCTGCGATATTTCTGCGGGAATATTCTATGTAATGACTCATCGTTGAACTGATGCACAATAATAAAAATTAATTAATACAAAATATTTAATTGTGTTGATAACTGCAGTGCTGACATATGGATATTATTCGATTGTTTTATATTCATGAAGCCAGCATGAATGTTTCATATTCACAACGATGTATTTTAATGGTAGTTTTGAAGATTATTTTCATCATTACAATAGTACATGTATTTTACTAGTAACGGTTCTTCCTTTAACTTCGTTGACGTGTTTCATGCGTTTCCATGACAATATATTTTTGTACGCATTATGAAATTGAAATTCTATTTGAATTACGTTATTGTAGTGGGTTATTAACTAATCTACAAATTCCCATCAACATGAAATTGAAACCGATAGAAAGTATTTATAGGAACGAGCCGACAAATGCCAACGATAATATGTTTGTCATGTAGTCCAATGGAATTCATTTATGATAAGACACCTACATGTCTCTCTTAACCTACACTATGGATTATATTACGCTTCTTTTCCAACATTGTTTGCTTATGAAAATATCCTCAATTTCGCCATCGCTGTCATTTTTTCCCTTCTTTAGTTGTACTGTAAAATAATTACTTGAGATGAGGGCTGGGCCTAACCGCAACTATTAACAAAACCTATGACGTCCCACAAAACGCCGATTGATTTATTCATTGTACGAAAGATTTATAAACAGTCGATCTCACATATGCTTAAAACTTGGCTGAGGATCTGAAAGCAGTTAATTTTGCATATGTTTGTTAGGTCAGTCTTCTTTGTTCAGTCTTCAATGTCATTTCTTTTCGAAATTATCGTAATGTATTTTGTCAAAAAACTTTTGTCGCGGTTTTAAAGTTTAGAATTCGTAAGCCAAAAGATTATACATATGTTGTCAATCCCAGAACGTTTAAATTTCGGGTTTTAGATAAATGGTTCATAAATGTTACGTTAAAAATTAATTACAATATCCAGTATAAGCTTATCTCTTATTGGAAAGCAATTCTGCAAATAATGTATCGGTACATACTTGTAAAGCATCGGGCAGTTCTCATTTCAAATATTACTTGCAATACTAATATACCGTATTAAAAAATGTGTTCAATTTAGTTTGTACATTATATTAAATTTAGAATAAAATTTATAGCTATGATGGAATTATCTCGTCGTTTACATATGAATTCGGATGAGGTCACATACTCACATTAATTCAACCATCATTCATAAATTTCAATATTTCTTTAACTCTATACTTTATAATATTCACGAATATGTAACTGTCACTGATAAAAAAACGACCGTTCTGATGAAGTTGGGTTAAAGTTATAAAAAAAGAGGATTCGGAATGTACATCAGCTGATCTGACTCATCACCTCTATTGCGCTATCGGTTACGCACACAAAGAGGAGGGGTGTATCGCCATTTTGGTGTCATGTGTGCAGCGGGTGCTCTATTATCACTATTTACATCGTAATTAACAGATATTATTCATATTAATAGAGAATATATAATTTAATTTCTATAGATATCTTGAAAACCGTGATTGGCTAAACGTCGCTCGACCAATATTCAGGAGTTGTGCGTGAGGAATTTCTACCATGGGCAACAGAGACGACGAATACGATTATCTTTTTAAAGGTAGGATGTGATAGTGATAGTTGTCCTTTTAAATCATATTAGTCAGAAAAAAATTGATGCCTGTTGTTAAATAGGTTTTTCTATTTTTTGGAATAAAAATTACTGGAAATCTAGTACTCATTCCTCATGGTTTTGATCGACGGTCCAAGTCTGTCCAACCAGTACCCGACCCGAGAGACTGAATCATCTAGGTATATAATCAATGGTGTAACTTAGATAATTCACATGTCTAATCGTGCAGTAATATTTGGGAATACCTAGGATGATAATTGATGTTTAAATTCACAGCAAGAAAACAGCACTAACTTAGTTACTGTGTTTTAATAAAAATTATCTAAAAAAAAGGCTACTGGCTAGGAAAATGGTGCAGAGGGTGGATGCACTATGCAGCGTTGCCAATATATGGGTTTTTAAGCCCTAAGCGTTGCCGGGTAATTTTAAGGTGCGTCGCCGGGTAATTCTTAATGAAAAGCCATTTATGCTGAGTAATGAAAAACTATTTACAAGCCACGAACTTATTTACAAGGTTGCATGCACGTGTTACCCCAAATAACTAATTTTACCCTAAAAACAGTCTGATTGTACAGCAAGTGTCAACTGAACATGTGATAGGGCTAATGCAGTCTGACCACTCTAATGTGACCGCAACTACGTGATCGTAAACTTGATGTTTACATTTTTTTGGTGGGAACTCATCGCAACTGATTTCCGGACAAGCTTCACTGCATACTGATCAATCCAACATACCGGAAACCTTACTTTTTTTAAATAGTTGGCGAAGACTGACAAATATATTAAATGGAAGAATTTCAATCTAAATGTGTCGGCAAGATCTTCTGAAGGCATAAATTTTGCTACTGAAGCGTTGCCAAAGATCTTGCAATATTCATCCACTCTCTGCACAGCACAGTGGCCACTATGGCCCGCTAGGTACTCAGTCAGTGACTCAGTCACTGAGTCAGTCAGTCAGTGCTGACAGTGTGTGTCCCTCAGGCCTCAGAGGCCCAGGTAAACACACCAATTCTGACACCTTAAGGACATAGCAAGAAATGAATGGCTATAAAAAGATCACCGTACGTGCAACTCGAGTTCTGATTGGTTTGCATCACTTTCAAAACACCACACTACGCACTAGCAATGAAGAAAAGTCACAAACTGTTGCCATATTTATTTAAAAGCCTTTAGAATTCAAATCTACCAAATTGCTGAATTCTGACGCTGTGTGTGACTAAATTTGGCATATTGTGAGACTAAATCCAACAACGCTTCAAAACCGTAATTTGTAATTCTGACGCCGGGCGCCCTGTGTTGGAATTCCGACACGCTGTGTGTGAGCTGTATCGGAATACGACACGGCTCAGAACGAGCTGTGTGTGTATAATTCCGAGCTGTATCAGAATTAGTTTTTAGGTGTCTAAAACCGTCTCTTAACTTAATCATCTATTAATTTATTTACCACTTGAAATCAGCAAATACAAATATACTTGAAGGATTCCTAATATTTTCAGACTTATTTAAAAGTCTCAAACCATAATATTCTTTCTACACAAACAGTTTATCACTATTTGGTAGAGCAAGGTCAACTATCAACTTTGACACATTTTTTGATGTTCTCACTGGGTGACGTGGACTTTTGCTCTAAGGATCTTAATATTTTCCCGCCAGACCTAGTGTTTTGCAGAAATCTGGTGCACAATAGTATGATGTCACTATTTAAACCATCTATGCATGCGTGGAACTAAGACAAAGCGTAGTATAAAGGAAAAAGTTGAGAAGTATCAGAATTACCCACGATGTCGGAATATGGTGCGTTTACCCGAGTTTGGTGAATGCATTGCCAATTTTTGCATTTGTATAACAAAACTGTTGCCAGCAGGGCTGGAAAAGTCCTTTTTTTCTGCAATATTGCGGCTCTAATATCATATAATTTCAGTAGGTATGAAATGTCATGGCTTGAATGTCATACATTTTTGTTTGACTAAAAAATCATGGTATGCACTTTGCAAACATGTCATTTTATAAAATTTTCAACTTCTGTCATCCGCATTGCTTTATCATTCCCACTAAAATATCATGCAAAACATAATCATTGTAATGTAAACAAGTCAACCTAAACGTTTTGTTGAAGATTGCGCAGAGTTGCGGTCATGTCAGAGTAGTCAGACTGCATTAACACATGTTCAGCTTACAGTAAACACAAATGTTATTGTTGACATTTGACTATTTTAGGGTAAAACTGGAGATTTGGGGCAACATGTGCATGGACTTTGTAAATAAATTTGTGCCTCATAAATGGCTTTTCATGGCCAAGATATGGAATTCATGGCTCAAAAAATTTAATCATGGCTCAAAAAATTTAATCATGGCTTAAAAAAATGGAATCATGGCTGGCGAATTCATAAAACCATGGCTCAAAAAATACAGTCGTGGCTTGCCAAGTAGATGTATTCCATGCCTGTTTGCTGGCAGTCCTCAAGATGCCAGGGTGCAGAGGGTGCAAGCAGCATTGCCAATATATGGGTTTTTAAGTCAAAAGCTTTGCCAACCATTTTCAAAATCATCGCCAGGTAATTTTTAATGAAAATCCATTTAAACTGGGTAATGAAAAGCCATTTACAAGCCACAAACTTATTTACAAGGTCACATGCACCTATTACCCCCAAATAACTAATTTTACCCCAAAAACAGTATGATTGTACAGCAACACTGAAGTTTTTCTTCACTTAAGTGTCATCTGAACATGTGATGATGCAGGACATTAGAGCCCTGAAGCAAACCCTTTGTTTGAAGAAATTGCAAATATCACAAATGCGCCATTTCATGAAATTATTAACTTCTGTAATCTGCAGTACTTAGTATAAAGTACAGGGTTGGTGATTTTTTCATTATTTTTTTATTTATTATATTTTTTTATTTTTTCAGCCTTTTTGTCTTATTGATAGGTTATTTTTTGTATTGCAATTGGCCTACTAACAATAACAGTATATGGAAGGCTAAAAAGGGCAGTTATTGCCTTCAAGAATAGCCAAGGGGGTGTTTACTAACAATTATTAATGTCTATTCATTAGCTTTGTAAAGTTTAGCAAGGTAATGAGCTAAATATTGATCATTTAACTGACTTCAATATACAACAACACTTCAGGAATGCAGATCTTCTAAACATTGAAGAGTCACATAACGGATAGGTAGCTGATACCCTCTAGGCTACACTCTAAACACACAGACAAGTAGTGACTGAGTGATTGACTGCACTGTTCTCATTTTATTCAGACCAATACTAAACATTAACTGAACAACAACCAAACAAACCTCAAATGACTTGAAATAAGACTTATGTTATGAGAAAAGCTAACACTTAGAAATAAACATGTACACAATTCAAACATTTTATTTCCATTCACTGCATTTAATTATTTTATATATACCTTTATAATTTTAATTGTTTTGTTTCTAGTTATAAGTTTACATATTTAAAGATTGAAATTAAATATTTTAACACGTTGACTACGTTTTGGTACATATGCGTACCACGAAATGTATTTCTCCAGGACTTAGTGGTACATAATTCAGGTTGCCTAAAATCGGCCAAATCTGAGAACAAAAAAGGCCGATAATTCAATGTATACTAGTTTATTTGTAGGTTCCGCTATAAAAATTCCATTTATTTTCTTTTTGCAGTATTTAAAATTTAATTACGAAGTAACCCTATCATAAATTTTAGCCTGCCAATGCAATTGAGAAAAACTGAATCCGGAATTTGTATGGAATAATGATCGGCTGGCAACCCTGCTTAAAAGAAATACAAAAAATGAAATAGTAGTACAAGATGAAGCAAGCGTAGTCAACGTGTTAATTAAAATACATATTAGAGTGGAAAATCTTTCTAAATGCCTCAAAGGTCAAACAATCTCAACCAACCCTTCTTATACAAACCAGCTAACACATGGAAATTGTATAATGTGATTAATATATAACAAATAGTCAAATAGTTGTTAAAAGACTACTTATAGCCTTATAAGAATCAGCTAAGCTGTTAGCTATGTACAATGTATTGCCAGACTAGATGCCTCTGTACCAAAAACATACAATTCATTGTAACATAATACACACCAAGACTAAAGGCTACAGGTTTATATCCCAATTTGTCATAGTACATTTATACTGAACCATGAATAACAATACCTTAAAATAAATTGAAAACTGCCACTCAATATATTTAAATATAAAAAAAATTTTAAAATTGAAAAACAAACTCATGATTTTTTATAAAAAATTGAGTGACTTAATCACATGATTTAATCAGTTTGATTTAATCATTGCCAACCCTGGCAGGAGACCAGAAATTTGGTCATTTAATTTTTATAATTTTTATAAATGGATTTGAGTTCACAATTGTGTGTCTAAAAACTGCATTTATTAGTAAAAAATCTATGTTAACGTCAGGTAAAATAATCATGGCGTGTGAAAGGGAAGGCACCTAAAAAATACACAACGGAATTTAAGGCAGATATCATTTGCAGCCAAGGTTGTACCGTGACACATAAACCCAAGGCAATTAGGGTAAACATTTGTAATTCCTACTTTAATCAGGCAACATTAGTAAGTGCTACTTATTGGTCCACTGGAACACTTGTGCAAAGAACTAGTTCCATTTTCCATATTAAATAAATGAATTGCATCTATGATACATATACTTCTTACAACATTATATTTAAAAAAATATATATTACTTTTACATCATTCAAATGAATGAAAATGTTGATATGAAGTGTATCGTAAAATGGGGTAACTTAGACCACTTTTCGTTTTTCTAACAAAAACCCCCACAACTCAAAAACTATTTGACATAGAAAAATTTTGTCAATGGGCATTAAAGGCCTAATACTGAGGCTACATAACACAATAAAAAGATTTAAAAAGTTTGCATATCTAATAGGTTAAAAAATTAAAAATGTGACCCACAAAAAAAAGCTATTATTTAAAGCCTGTCAGGTTTTGATGGACTCCAGGTTTTGATGCATTGTAGTAGAACTCTTCTAGTTACATATGCAAATGACAAATTTTAGGAAAGTGTCATAGTTTGCAAATGGGGGGCACTGCCCCCAAATGGGGTAACTTAGACCACCTAATGTCAGCCCTGACGGGGTCACATAGACCGGCTTGAAAGTTAATATAAAATTACCATATATAACATATTTTATGTTTGACAGCCTATTTATGTTTTTTCTTTGTTTCAGACTCTACAGAGTCTTATATATGGTAATTTTAACTTAATTTCCAAGCCAATCAATATTACCCATCAGGGCTGCCAAGAAAAGTGGTCTAAGTTACCCCGCCGGTCTAAGTTACCCCATTTTACGGTACTCTGTATGCTTCAAACATTTTAAAATTGAGTTTTATTTCAAGTGTCCCAGATTACCCTATTCCCAAGGGTAATACAGGACAGTTTTATTGTTTTTATTTTGTGTCTGGTGCCTTACAAATAGCATATGGAATTTTTTTGGAGATGCCTTACGATAGTCCTTGCAAAGACCTCTAAAATGAGCCTAAACTTGTTTATTAAATGTTTCATGGCAAGAAGTTATTAACAAAAAGTGCTAAAAACTGTCCCTTGTTACCCCATTTGAAGGTATTTTGGTAATTCATCCATGTTGTTCAGAAAAAATTGATATGATGCATCCCGCTTTCTACTCATATGTAATCAATTTGTAGCATTTATTGTCCAAAATGTTCTAATTACCATACAGTACTACATATATGTCACTACAAACAAACGGTTTGGAAATCAATAACTGGACAATATATATGGTAGCTAGCTCTGTACCGTCAACTGGGGATGACTTCGGCCCCGTTTTTGATTTTGTTTTGCAAACTAAAGCGGGGTCATGAACGATGGCCAAAGTCACTTGGCGTTTATGACCTCGTTTACGACCCTGGCGTTTATGACCTCGTTTACGACCCTGGCGTTTATGACCCCGGCGTTTACAACCCCATTTTGTTTGCAAAACAAAATAAAAAAACGTGGCCGAAGTCACCCCAACCGCCGAAGTCACCCCAGTTGACAGTAACCAAAAAACTTTACTGGGCCAATTGCTAACTCCCTGGAAACAATGCAGTTTTTCACAAGGAAAACAATGCATTTTCAAGATCTGAAATAAATTATATATTCAGCTGTCTGGATCTACCTACACAATTTGAAACTAGCAAAGCAGACTGTATATACCCAGTACCATCTCACCTATACATCCTATAGGTTTGTGACCTATAAGTCACAAACCTTGTTTTTCTGAAAAGTCTTGGAGGTTAAGTTCTTACAACAATATGTTCTCAATTATATATACTTGCAAGATTTCAGTAATAAAAGTTTTCTAATCCAGTTTTCTTTGGAAATTGCTCATTTTTACTGTAATTATTTTGCTCAACTGACCCATTTGACTGTTTGATTTCATTATCTTCATACTGTAAATTATGAGCTTGATCCATCCATGACTTTAGTATCCTTTACATTCATTATTGTCAATTTTGAAATGTGCTTTTAGAATATTGTGTATTTGCAAAGCTCAATTGTTTTTCAAAATATGTGAATATTTATTTGATAACTCTTCTTTTATATACGTACCTACTCATGTTGAGGATAAATTTTGAAATGCCTTTGTATAATCTTGTTTGCTAACCTTGTTTCATTTTTCAGTTGTTCTCATTGGGGATTCTGGTGTTGGCAAGAGTAACCTGCTGTCAAGATTCACTCGCAATGAATTCAACTTGGAATCAAAGTCTACCATTGGTGTTGAATTTGCCACACGTAGCATAGAGGTGAGTGATTAAAACTCTTGAAAATTATTATGAAATTTCTATTTGTTCAGACTTTATTATGTTATGTTATTGCTAAGAAATGTTATTTGACTACTACCGTAGTCTAATTTTTTTATGAGTTGCATATCTGTTTTTTTCAAGTTGATTTTCTCGGCTATTATTTTGTATTCATTTGAGGAGGACGGGAAGATTCAATTGTGTAATATTAACTTCTCTTGCAGGTGGATGGCAAGACAATTAAAGCACAGATCTGGGACACGGCAGGCCAGGAAAGGTATCGTGCCATCACTTCTGCGTACTACAGGGGTGCCGTTGGAGCTCTGCTTGTCTATGATATTGCAAAGCAGCTCACCTACAGCAATGTTGAACGCTGGCTCAAAGAACTTAGAGATCATGCTGATCAGAATATTGTCATCATGCTAGTAGGTCAGTGTCCAAAGTGTTCATGCTGATCAGAATATTGTCATCATGCTAGTAGGTCAGTGTCCAAAGTGTTCATGCTGATCAGAATATTCAATATTGTCATGATGTCATTCACTCATTGTCATATTGAGATAGTAATGATACAAATTCAGCAACTATCTGATTAAAGAGGAGCAAGATTTTATAATGTAGCTGGCAAAACACTAAATATTGCCTAATTAATTTTTTATGCTCATTAATGTATGCATGCCTTTTGGCTGATTCTGCTTTACATTGGTCTAAACAAATTTTTGCCACGATCCTTTTTTCTGAGTTTTTTTATGTTTACTAATAAATTTAACATTCGCAGGCAACAAATCTGACCTGCGTCACCTGCGATCCGTACCGACGGAAGAAGCCAAGGGCTTTGCTGAGAAGGAAGGCCTCTCATTTATAGAAACTTCTGCCTTAGACTCAACTAATGTTGAGACTGCCTTCCATAATATTCTTGAAGGTGAGATTTACCACTTGTCGGACCGCATTCGTACAATTATACCTAAATACGGTACGGTTATAACGTTGTAAGATTATGCAATCTGACATTGGTTAGAATGACGTGTGTACATGCTTATTAAGTCCCATGAATATGATTTATTTTGTGTGCAAGGTATACTTCAAGTCGGTTTCTGGAGGAGCTTTGGTAAGGTAGACTCCTTGCGAACGAACGCATACTTTTGTGGTTATTCAACATCTGGAACCATGGATGGAAAATTAAGCTTCTGAGGTGTCATCAGCCAAAACCTATGACCAATCGTATATTCAACCTAGGCTAGAAAATTAGCTAGCGATAATATACTTTGGGATTTATTGTCTTCTACTACTTCTAGTCATTTCATGAGTTTTCAATGATTTACCGTATTCATTTATTTTAGAGTTGAAAATTACAACATTTCTTGTCATGGCAGATTGTATTTCATATACTATATGTACTGATTTCAGTGGAAGAACAATTGTTACAATGTTGGCTTAGCTGTGGTGAAATGAAATAGAGTGAAGCTAACTATTACTGGAAATTGCATTGCAAAGTCAGTGACGTATGAATGAAATAAAGTGTAGGTCACATTAATAGACTAATGCTCACGAGGTGACCGCCAAGTGCTTATTGGAAAGTCGTACCGTCTACTTATGAATTGGGATTAATAAATTAAATTCATGCCCATTGTTGTTCATCACACAAAATCATCTTCAATATTTAAGCTCGATATCTCTATGCTGCTGACTTGAAATGAGTTAATTTTTCTAGGTTTCATAAATTATTAATGTAGCCCATTGGAGCAATTTCTTATTTGAAACAATGCATTAGATCGTTTGATCCTGCATTTGCATGCTTGCCTTACGCTCTGTATGCTTCCTGAATTAGTTGTTTACTAAGATATGTACATTTGCATTTGTATTATACTATTGACTGCCGAATAGTCTTGCTAAGATAACTATAAACCGGGAATCTGAGGTCTGGTTATAGCAGCTTTGTTCAGCATGAACTAACTCTACTAATCCTCTTTCCATTTGATGACCCAAGCTTCCTCTATTCCATGTACGAGCCTGCATACTACAGGCTCTACTGTAGTACCTCTACTTTCTGCTTACGTCCATGTCATGAACAACACTATCTGTTTGGGTACTTACAACATTGAATCTAAATTGCTACACTCATCCTCCAAACAAGTCCGTCAACGAAATGCTGTCGGCTATTTCAAATATAACAATTCGATGCAGTCATAAATTGGACCCGCAATGCTGTTACTCTTGACATCACTTCAAAAACAAGGCTGGAAGGTTTAACATGCACATGCTTTGCTCAGAGATCTACAAGATTGTGTCCCAGAAGCAGCTGCGCGACCACCCTGATCTAGACGACAGTCCTACTGCCGATGTTAGGGCTATTCACGTTGAGCCAACCGTCAGTGCTGAGTCGGTGCGCAAGCAGTGCTGCCAGCAATAATGCTGCAGTTTTGTTGCTGCTGCACAATTGGCAACAATAATGCTGCTACTCACCCTACATTTTCTGGTGTGTTAACCAAAGCTCCACGTTTTTTGCTTCTTCGCCTGCTTTAAGTTTTTTGGCACAAGTTTATGCATTTTTATTCCATCCAGCTACTCCTGAGGTACACGCTTTGGATTTTGTTTTAAAATCACGTTTTGTGACATTGTAGTCATGGGCACTTCGTTTCCAGTATACTCCACTTTCCAATTAGCTTGCGGGCCTGAGAGTTTGGGGAATTCTTAACGTTCATGCACTCGCTCTGTAAACTACAGCCACATGCGCCCACTTCTTCACTTGGTATTTGTGTTATATTTTGCACTTGTTGGGTGTGTTTTGCACAAACAAACCAACCTGATAGAACTTATTTATTAAAAATTGTAGATTATATGCTAAACAGGCAACAGTAGGTAGTAGACGGTGAAAAGCAATGATGCACCGCTACAAAACGCGGACTTATCGCATTGCAAAATTTGTTAGTTGCTTTTGGGATTTGAAAAACAGTTGGCGCTCAAGGTCCAGGCTTGTATGACTATCTGTTTTGTATTGATTGCTGCGCTCCATCGTAACGGTTTCTCATTTTCACATCCGCACTGCGTATGTTGTTGCCACATTTGTGAAAATTTTCTTGTGCAGCTTGAATTCACACTAGTAACTGCGTGCCTCATCTGTAATTTATCTAAGAGTTCATTTGTGCGGGGTTAGCGGTAATGTGATTTGTACATATGTTTTTAGTAAAATGCTATGTGTGGAAGCAGTTTGAATTTGATGGTTGTGTGTTTTTCATTTATTTAAATTTCCGTCACATGGCAAATAATAAGAGACGTCTGCTTCTGCTAGGAAGTTATTTTGAACGAAAATCTTGTTCATCCTTTAGAATAACGCCTGGTCACGTCAACTTGACCCAATCATTGTTGTTCACGACTGCCCACAAAAGACCAAGTGCATGTATTCCATTCTAGGAAATTATGATTATTTTCACGACTTCAATTTACTCTCTGTACACAGAACAGAACCTATGGTTTTTCATCAAGTTTCATTTCCCATTCTATTCCTACTGCACCAAGTGGAGTTACGTAGTCTTCTTACAGCGTTTAATTATTGTGATTGTAATTACCCTTCTGCTAAGTTTTTAATTTTTTGATGCAGTATTATCCCCTAACCAGGTTTTTTGTTTAAGTGTAGACTGATTCCATGAACTCTCTAAGTGACGTGCCAAGAGACGGATTTCGATTTCTGTTTTTGTGCTGCTATGCCCCGGAAAGTTGCGAGCTAAAATTCTTGACATCTATGATATTACTGAAGTTCTGTCGATTCTCTGGTCTAAGCATTCATCTAATTTTTTTGGAATGCGCCTTAATATCATCGCCCTTTCAAATTATGTCATCACTCTTTCTGACACCTGCTTTACTCTCTAACTCACTTACACTTACTAACTCAAAAAAGTTTTATTCACCACAGTTTTGAAGTTAAATGGCCCCGCCTGATGATATGGCTGCAATTCTTGTCACGGCATGAAATTTTCAGCAATGGTATTGTTTAGAATTCAATAATGGTGGTCACCTTTGCCTGACTGTTGTGTTATAATGAATTTCCCGTCGTGTCACTAGTTTCCGTGACAGTGTGAATGTTTTCTTGACTTCAGGTTGAAACACCAGCACATGGAGTTTCAGGATGCTTACGTATTTGTGGATGCAAAATATATTTGGTTTTCTCCCTTTTTCCTGTTTTTCTTATCTCTTTTATGGGAAATTATTTATTCCAAATGCTTTTATATAACTCCCCAAAGATCGTATTTACTAGTCACTTTGTGAGGAAACGTCTGAATTATGGTGACTCGACAAAATTTAGGTATTTATTTTCTGCGAGCATTGCGATTTCAACCTTTTCCATTACAAGATATTATATCATTGTTAATTTGTTGAAACAAATTTATATCAATTTGATTATTGCAATTTAATTTTACGTGTTTGGCGTGGTTGTATTTTTTATCTATTTATTTATTTTTTTGTTCTGCCATTGAGTGACCCGACATGCAAGGGCTCTATCAATTTTTTATCCCATTTTGTCCTTCCCAAGGATTTAGCACCATGAGCTTCATCGTTATTTCCGATTTCACGTTTTGCATTAATTCGTTTTGTATAGAACCATTAAAGAGTAATTTGTTGCGCCTCCATGCTTCCTATGTATGGAATAAATGTGCTTGTCAACTGCAGAGATCTACCGCATTGTGTCGCGCCAGCAACTCCCCGACAACTCCGTGCCTGAGATGCCCGGCGGTCCATCGTTCAGCGTGAAGCCCACCGAGCCCACCCCTGGCAGCGCATCATCTGCCCTCAACAACTGCTGCTCTCGCTAGCCTGCCGTCCCTCTCACCTCTCTGCTGCACGAGGCTGCAGCGTCTCCAAACTTTGCCCAAGTGCTTCAATTGGTTTCTGGCTCGTTAGTTTTCACGAGTCATCATGTCCTGAGGGGTTCCAAATTATAGCGATAAAACACCAATGTACTCGAGTGAGAACAATACCCAGTTTAGGTAGGTCATGTTCCATGCATCTGTTTTTGATCTGCGGAAACTAGTTTGCAACTGGTTTCGAATCTTGAGACTTGAAAGCAGACTTGCCATCAAATGTAACTAAGTCCAAAAGTACACGTTCATAACCCTATTCGTAGTTCACTGCAGATTCTCTAGAGGCCTCCCATGAGATTTAATGCCTTGTTGATTGTTCTGGATGGTGTCATTTTCAATGCGTTCTATTATGAAAATCAATAAATTTTTGGCCTCGTTCTAATTTGGTGCTAATTTATTTTGAATCGGATTGATAACTTTTGATGGTGGAACATTAACAGATGTCTTCGCAACCAAAGACCCCCCCACCCCGCAATCAGCTGTTTGTCAATTTTGTGCATCATGTTGGTTTCAACGCCCAGGAATTATAGTGAGATTTGACCTATGAATAAATTTTCATTGTGTTGTGACTAGCTCAAGACAATGTCAAACCCTCTCCTGTAATTAATAAAGTTCCTCATCATTGCTATACAATAAATGGACGAGCTCGAAAGTATGGTTAAATAGAGGAATCCAAAATATTTTTTCGCTTTGTCGTTCATCTATTCTCCAAATAGGTTTCTGGAATCATAGTTTAATGATGTATCCACGATAATGCAAATTGTTCTCGGCGCGTGCTTAATTTTCATAACTTTGTTTTTGCAAGGGGCTTGATTTGTTCTAAAAAACAACCTAGTTGTTTTCGATCTTTTGCTGAATGCTTTTCTTCCAAAAATACCGCTACTTTCTGTATTTTTCTATCAATGAGTGACCCGTGTTATAGGCTGTCGTTATTTCCAAGCTTCGTCACAACGCCTCGTGACCGCCCTGTACCCTCTTTTTTATTAATTATCGATCCCTTTATGTATGCTCCCGATATTTTTACTCTATTTTAGTATCATTCTAAGCCATTGTTTTGAGAATCCCATTTTGGGCCTTCGTTATAGGTTATTGTTTGTGTTGACTTCTAAGAGTTTTGTGTGATTCTACTGAGGAGGAATTTCGCTGTACTTTGTTTCTTTGAAGCTGTAGATTCTTGCTCTTTCAGGAACCAGGACCAGCAGGCTAGTTTGTTGTGTAATCTAAATTATCTTAAGATCAGCAGCTGTTTTTTTTGTGTTAAACTCGTTCTTGTTTCTAAATTTTAGGTATCAATGCATTTCAAATGTATTTCATCTAATGCCTTATTTTATTTGCATTTGGAACCAACTTTCGCATTGTTGGGATTTGTTTGTTTGTGAATTTATTGAGCAAAAAGTTAAGCGTCATGAAAATGTTGTCTTATTTTTTGCACACGTTCATGTGTTTCTCTTTTCTGTTGGGATAGCGTGCGTGTAAGTCCATGGCCATATCGAAAATTAGACTGGGGGCTGAAAAAGCTTTAGGCGGTTCTGCCGTTCCAAGCAGTGATGTGTTGTCGTCCGCTTCTTTGAGGCCACTTGGTTCGCCCTTGAATCTAGAATATAATTTTGAAATTGTTAAAAATTTTATTCAAGAATCGCAAATAATTTTGCATATCTCCTGCAATCGCCAGAGCATTTGCCATCATGTCTCTCAAAACCCTTTCGCCCAAATTTTCTGAAATTCGCTTGTACTGAAATTATGCCTGGATCTAACTTGGCTGTGTTTAACTCGACGATATACTTCATTGTATTGTGATTAAATTCGATGATTATTAGATTAAAAGCTTCAAATTAGTCCACTAGATTATAATTTATCCACGTTTTTCCTCCTTCCGACCATTCGCTTTATCACGACTGTGCCAGGTTCATCCTCAACCTATACCTCATTCGACGCTTTACTTCAAGTTTTGTTTAGGCGACCTTAATCCTCGATTAAATTGGTAGCGGGTCCCTGAGGAAATATTTTTGGGATTGCTACCTAATAGACTTCTCTCGAAATCATCGATTTTCATGTTGTATTATTTAAAAAAATACCTCTTTTGTTAAACACAAAATGAATGTAAAGGAAAGGTGTGGGTCATTTCTTGTCTAAATCAGTTGCGAAATTCATTTTTTATGCATATTACACCATCAAATTTGTTCACATAATGCACCACTGAGATGATTTTGTATTGAGCTTGCACCAGGGGGATGAAAAGTAGCAGGATATTTTACGTTCAATTTGCGAGCGTTTTTCTTGAGTTGATCCCAACTACTTGGTTTGTCGCATTAATTCGTAATTTGAAGGTCTTGGTAAAAAGAATTGCTTCGTCAGGTCTGATGCGCATCCTCTTGTTACATTCTTAGTTGTGCCGCTGTTGACTTAACAATTAATTAACGAGAGCGAAAAGCATAAGGTCGCTTTCTTTTCTGTGATGTAAAAATTGTAATATAGTCCATAAATTCTTATAGCTTGGCCGGTCAAAGAAATCCGAAAGTCGCCATTTTTGCTCATGCCATATAGCCATCGCTGCAGCCTTCACTACGATGTGTAGTGTCTGCTACGCGATCGAAGTTCCCTCATTCCAAAGTTCTGAAATTCATCATACTGTCTTGTGTCCGACTTGTAGAGATGCATTCCAAATCCGTATCTGTGCTTTGGTTTCTCGTCTTACTCTCTGAAAGATCGTTTGATCGATGTGGGTCTCGCCGAGTTCATGGTTGCTGAATAGTCTGTGCATTATAACATTCAGTAAATATTTATTCTTACCACAAATTCTTTTTATTTTTCATCGTTTCGGTCACGCACCTATGTATATTGTGCCCGTCAACCGAATTTTTCCACTTGCGTGTTATCTCTCACTAACCTTCGTGTTAAGTTCACCATTTGAATGAGCAGTGATTCTTGACTTTCTGGTGCGTGAAAAATGAACTGTTGGTCATCTTTGGACGATGTTCCTCAGTTGCGACTAAACTTCACAGAATCTCTGGCTCACGTAACGTCTATTCAAATAACCATGCGAAGAATTTGTTGCTTATTCTATTCTGATGTCTTAGTTTCACGGTGTCTTGGTTCACTGAGTAGGAAAATATCGCTTGTATCCATGCATTCATGACGTTGCTATCAAGTTGATAGGATCAAATCGTCTGGACAGTTTGCTCAGGGCTGGAAGAAGATTAGGTCGTGCAGAGTGAATAGAAGAATATCATACGTCGCGTTCTGTGCTCAGAACTGATCAGTGCGATAGATATGTGCGTCACCATGCGCGTCTATTGTAAGATTTTATTTTCCTAGATTGGGCATTTGTATTGAGATGGAAATATTTTTTATCGTTGTCTGTATGGTGTGAGACTTCGCCACTTGGAAAATTGGACTGGAGGTGAAACCCATTTGCGTCAATAGACTATGAAACATGACTGTCAAAACAAAGGGCTAAATGATCTGGTTGCATATTTCCCTCGTTTACAGTCGCGATTGCAGTACGTGTGCCATTTTTTCATCTTGTTTGGTGCTCATCTATATTGTTATACGAGATACCTGAATTAATTATCTGCTTCAATAGAAAGGCCGTGCATTCAAATGCCTCCGAAATTTGTGATGGATTTGATAATCCCGTCAATATCTAACTGTAAAACAAAATCGAAGAAGCAATGATACAGTTTACTGTTATAGATTAAGTAAAGAAGTCTTATCCTTGGAGGTACTACCCGTTATTATGTTACTGCATTAATCTGCTGGGGTACAAAAGTCTTCATTTCGAGGTAAACTGAACTCAGTACCGTAGCAGCTTTTTTCTAATTACGCAGTTCCTGTAAATTTTAGTCCTTGTGGGAATATTGGCGACATTTCTATTCAAACGCATGGCTTTTAACCCTGTATGGCACTGCCTTGCTTCGCGACGAAACGCATGACCCATGCGACAGGCATTACAAGTCACGATTAATGTGTGCCATGTAGGGTTGAAGTGGCTGTTTTGTTGTATGTCGACATCTTCAAATATTTCGGTGGTCGTTAGTAAAGTGATGTCTAAAATTCGAGTTTCACGTCTGTACTTGTCTGTNTATTGAAAGTTGAATCTTTTATAACAACGACACTCATGACCGTTGAAATCATTTGATGCCGTCTACGCTCGTTGCAAATTATTCTGGCATTGGCTGGTACTGAACGAGTATCGACATTCAGCGTCTCCATGCTTTTCTCCTTCTTTTTAGGTTTACCCGAAACTTGAATCTTGCTAGTTTCCGGAGATCGCAATCCTGGAGATCAAGATTCACGAAAATATTTTTGGCCATGGTAACTTTTGTCCCTCCCGCGCGATGCATTAAATTTGTTGTCGAGTGCAAGAATTTGGGTTCTTGGGTTGAGCGCCGACGATTGCGTGATAACATCTTGATTTTGAGGAACTTCCCCAAGCTCGGGCGTTCTCATTGAACGATGTTGAGATTCAAACTTTTCAAACTTATTACCATTATAGTTATGCTCTATTAGTTTCTAATAGTATTATATCTGCAAATATATTTATGCTGAAATTGCATGTGCTCACAAAATTATTTATGCAGTTCTTTTTGATTAGTTTTTGCTATGATTCGACACAGGCGTAGAGAATTTTGTAAGTTCTTGTGGAGAAGCACAGTGTTTGCAATAAAATCTAAATATGTAAAGATCTTTTGTTTTCTTTCACTCGTCTCTCCTAAGCACCCGAATGTCGACTTATTTCATAAATGAATGCTTTTACGCTTCTCGAACTCTTTGGAAAATGCGTACAGAGTCCATCCAGGAATACGACATTCACTCCGCTTTGGAATTGAATGGGGAAACCATTTTTCCGTCTTCCTGTTTTTATTAAGCTGCTTCGCTCCTCAGGATTTCTGTACCAATTCGGATTTGTGATAATACTTTGCCCAAACCACATGTGTTTGCTGTTTGGGCTTATTTAATGTATTCTTTCTGAGAATTCAGACATTTGAACTATTTAATTTGAAATTAAATATTCATGTTCAAATCGCCACTTAAAATGACTGAAAGATGAAGAATTTTAGCATAGAATAACCAAGCCTCATTTTACTTCGAAATTCTATGATCGACGCCGGTCCTGCAATTTGAATTGAAATACATGAAGCATTTTTTGTATTGCATGGAATTCGCGTACCTCTGTGTTCAATATTTAAGTCTTGGCCCTTGTGTTGCCGAGGTACAATGGTACTTGAACTCGGTACGATTAAAATTTTGTAAAATTATATAGTCTAACCAGAGTTAACGTCTAATTATATATTATATAATATTATCATTATCATTATTATATATTATATTAACTGGTTAGACTATATATAATTATATAGTCTAACCAGAGTTAACGTGATTGTCAATTTCTATTTCACGTAGTGATGAGGTCAAGCCGTGACTACCTTCTCGCTGAAAACGATCTTAAAGCCGAATTGCATATATACCGACATGAGAAACACATAGTCTCCCTGGTAACATCGTTGACGCTCCGAGTATGAACGCGTTCAAGAACAGACTAGACAAAGCTATGCGGGAACATATGTTCAGTCTTGATCTTTCTAGCACCTTACAAACCTATCTAGCTTGAACCAACGTCAGTTATGGAAAGATCTGCCACTAGTCAAGGGGCCTGTTTTTAGATCTGTGAATCAAGTCGCGAAAAGTACGGGAATCTGCGAGAAGGCATGGACCTATTTCTTCGTCGCCGACACTTATAGTCTATTCTATTTACTTTTTTTGTAATTTGTAAATGAGTTGTAATTTATAAATGAGGTTAGTAAGAAATTGATATTGCTCCTTTACCTGAAGCAGTAACTAAATTAGAATAATATGTATCTTAATTATTCTTCAGCAAAAAATTCGAGTTTCAAGTCAGGCTGTCACAGGTTATGATAAACTTCTCACAGCGGTTTATGATTTATATGAACATTGATTATGATACAAATGGTACCTCGTGTTTGCAAGGTAAGTATTTCATCTCAATCCAGTGAGATGCAAGGTCACCTCCATCCACCACTTAATCCTTGAGTTTTTTTTTTTTTTCATACGAATACCCTAACTCAGAATGATCCACACATTGCAGCTCATGGTTCTTATTTGCATTACAGACTGTGACTTGCGACATCGTGGAGCAAAATCAAGTAAAACTTGGATGGCTTGATTTGAATGGCCGTTGTTAGGCAGCGCTCAAAAAATTAAATAAACTTACTCGTTTAATTGAGAGAAAAATGCATTTCAATGTATTTTTGATTTGTATACTTAAACGCCCAAATCAAACGAGTCTGTAAATGGAACTTCTCATGATGACTAAAATGCTTTTTGTAAATATTCTACCAATTTCGAACAATTCGCTTAGGAAAATTTGTGAAGTTTAAGTCAATTCCAAACTTAACAAGCATAGAATAAGTTAATGGAAGTGAATAATACACTTCCATTAACATGAAATATAATCGTCGATCCAGAATTGCAATATTCTTGAATTATCTCTTTTATAAACAAATTCTGTCCCAGGCTTATTTGGCTGGCTCTGCCATTCATTTATCTACTGACGCTAACTCTCGTTTCCAGGCTTTTGGATACGAATAACATTGATGACTAATGTATAAGAAATCAGAGTTAATTGGTTTTGTTTTATATTAGTTTCACAGAATTAGGCACTTATGTCCAATAATTTTAGCAACTCGAGTCATGTGACGCGCTCAGTTTGATCGGTATTTTTATCGCAGTTTATCAACAATATGGTCTCTGTTGATGATAGTTGAGCAAACTGTTTTGTTCTGCGTGAGATGGTGACACATTTTGTTGTTGAGAGCAGAGCGTCTTGTCGATAAAGTTTGATCGTCAGCCACATTCGCTTGAAAATATGTATTTCCAAATGATCACCTTAACTTTCTAAAGCTCAACGTTATCGTTTGTATTATTACATATTTTATCCCGAATTCAAATCTTATTTGTTCAGGACACGCGTGTTTTCATCCATGCTTTATATCGCTTTCAATATGTGTTGTGTGTTATCTACCAGTGGTGCGACTGATCACCGTAATATTCCTGATACGACTGATATCGTTTGTGGCTATTGAAGCGTTCCCATGATAACGTCATGGTGAACATATAAAACTATAATGGCTTCGTCTGTACGCACAGTGCGACGCATGTATTTTCCTCCGATTCCTCATGCAATTGCCAAAGTTTTAAGATACATGTATTTTTTGGTGATTATTATTGTGTTAATTTCAATGATGTAACTTTTGCCTTATATGTATGTCAATTGTTACTTATGTATATTGTTCCTTCGCAAAATTCAGTTTAAATGATGTCACTATCTTGAAATACACAATGTTGTTTGTTTAAGATAAATTTCTTCAGAAATATTTTTCCAAACCTAGCGCAGTTTCCGTAAAAGTGTGAAGGGTTTTGAGGTGCCCTTGGCTCCATAAAGTCAACATGGATATTCTAGAGAGCCTCAAAGTCGTTCCCAAGTACGATCCTGAAGTGATAAGATCCCAGCAATTCTCTCGTCTGAAAGGTGGGTGGTGAATTAAAATACATTCTCCACAGCCCAATTTCACGTGTACCAGAAAACAAATTTCATGTGAGGTTAAAATCATTAACCTGAGAGTTGATGATGATATTTAATATTATATAGATGTGTTCATTCTCTATTCGTCTTACTCACTCAATCGATTTACTGCTTTTACATTTTTTCGAGACCCATAGATAATTAAATTTATATCGTAGTTGTTGTTGCTTCGCTTTTTATTAATGTTGTTTTATTTTATTAATATTTTTTGAGAATAGTCGTCACAGTTGCGTCTTTTGTATTTTAATTAATATTCACTACGTTACTGTGTGATTGTTATATATTAACCATGCTTCACCATCCTCGTCTCGTTTGACTCACATTCTTGTATACGTCGATGAATTTGAGATATTTAACGTTACAAATCAGCGCTTGTTTTGAGCAGGTGAAACATACCTGGACCACGCAGGCGCAGCCCTCCACAGCGACGCTCAACTGGCAGCGGTCACGTCTGAGCTGAGCACTTGTCTGCTGGGCAACCCTCACTCTCGCAACCGCCCCAGTGAGACTTCCACGCAGATACTGCACGCAACTAGGCAGAGGTCGGTCGTTACTTAATGGCATATTATATAGTATTTAAAAACATGACATGGATATTACATTATTTTTGCAATAAGACAAATTAAACTCATAAGAAGATAATCGTTCGTGATTTACTTTCGTTGTTAATACCTGATTATTCGTTTTGTAAAGGCAGAACTCGTGAATTTATTCATCACTCAGATCTATCGTAAAAAAATTATTCGTTTTGATTCGTGTACTTTTAACATTTTAGTTGTAGCTTAGCTAGCAACAAAGTAAAAATTTTCAAGTGTTTCTAAGAATGATCTAATTCTAATTTTGGTCACAAATTTAAGAATAAATTTCCTTACTCTTTCAAAACCAGCAAATTCCAAGCCTAATTTGGTAGCTTATCCCATCATGAAGACTATGAACTAAAGAATTTACACAACGTGAAATGCATTTTATAGTATACTCCTTAATTCTGTTTTATATTGTGCGAACGTCAATATTTAATATGTATTTATTTAGAATTTTTACGTTAAATTTCGATCAATCATACATGTTCGTTAAAAATACCTTACAAGTTTTCATGGAAAATTCGCAGTTTTCTTGCAGAATATTGCAGCATTTCAACACAAACGACGAAGAATACGCAGTGATTTTCACATCTGGAGCTTCAGCGGCCATCAAACTCGTAGCAGAAAATTTGAATTGGTCGTCGCCATGCCAAGAGTCACGCCACGACGGCACGACACACTGTAACTGCACCGAGGTTGCTAATGCAGCCTTACGTCTGGATGATTCAAATTCTAGCATAACAAATCATTATGGGCATTTCGCTAGCGATTCTCATGTCGAGGAAAGGAAGCTAAATTCCGAGCCATTGCATGTGATAACCGAAAATTCTAATGGAACAACCTGTCCTGCTTCCGCTAATTGTGTCAAAGATGCATACTCTATTTCCACGCAGTTAGAACCTAACAACGATAAACCTTGGGACTCTGGTAAGAAGACAGAAAATAACGTGATGCCACCTACCAAGTTCACTTGCTACGTTTACTCTCAAGAGAATCATACTTCTGTCCTGGGAGTCCGAGGCTGTGCTGTCAGTGCTGGTGCATCTGTGTTCTCAATACCTGTGAAAAACATCTACGAAATCTCTAAAAATAACGAAATTAACGTCAGTGAGAAGAAGACTCTACAAGAAGACCCTGACGTTGAGAACTGCCTCTTCGCTTACAGCGCGCAGTGCAACTATTCGGGCGCTAAATATCCCTTATCGTGGGTACAGCGCGTACGGGACGGAATGTTGGACGATTTTGTTGACTCCAAAACTGGAAAATCTGGAGTTACTCGACGTTGGTTCGTGTTGCTCGACGCGGCGAGTTTTGCAGCCACGTCTCCGCTCGACCTCTCGACATGTACACCAGACTTTGTCCCCGTATCCTTCTACAAAATGTTCGGCTATCCTACCGGATTAGGTGAGATGGTTTATTGATAATCACGGCACTTGATACAGCTAAAAAATTGCTCATATATCGCTCTCCGGTGTGTCCGCCATTGTCGTTCAGTATAGAAAAAAAGTTTTCTGCACTGAACGACTTGAGATGTTTATATTTTCTGTACTGAACTTGAATACTGAAATTTTCTGTATTTGGCTTGATATTTTCGTTAAATTGTTTATAGAGTTCCCATTTCCTTAGGCTCAGTAGAACGCATGATAGATCTCTCAATGAATAAAAATATCAGATTATGTTGCGGCCCATTTTTCATCTGTGATTGTTGGGTTAGCTTGGAAAGCCGTCAGTGGTTAACTGACTGAGTAATACGGTAGGCTAGTAATAATTTTCGATAGTAACAAAGAAAGTTGGGTACCGGCACCTGGCTGTCATCGTCATCATTATAAATCATTGTCATCAGGATGCCTGCTGCTGCACCGGCGTGCGTGGAGTGTGCTGAACAAACGTTACTTTGGAGGCGGCACCGTGGAGCTGGCGGACGCTCGCTCCATGCGCACCGTCCTGCGCAAGCTGCCGAGTGAGAGGTGATGTGTAGTTGGGTCCCTTGTTCGGGGATACTTCTCATATTGACAAGGATAAATTGGCATTAAATAACTTTTTATATAAGGGGATGCAAATGAAGCATCGCCGTTTGGTTGCAATTGAAATTGCTTGCTAAGCATAATATGCTGGGACGTTTTTGGGAATTTTTTTTTCTCATTTTCTTGAGGAATGAGATTACATTCCAGCCGCAAGTGCTAATTCGATTTACTCCATTGAAATTTGTTGTCGTGTGGTTTAATGCCAAATTATCTGACACAGAATGTGTAAATAGAGAAGAGAACTTATAAAATTTCCCCCTTTAATTCTTCAGCGGAAGTATTAACAACAAAATGTCATCTTGATTAAGTCTTGAAGCTAGAATCTGTTGTAGATAAAATGTATTACCTAGTTCACCCCGACCTTGTAAATATCACCATCTCTTTAACCTGACGAGGCAAGTGATACTTCAACAGAAAATACACCAGAGCAAAATTAAGCAAAAATAACAATAAAAGCTATACGTACAATTCAAGAAACTTTCGGGCTTGTATAAGCGCTAGAAAATTTATTTTGGAATTCGTTGAATTTCCGTGCACTGAATAACTTATAATATAATCTATACTTTGACGAGGATATATTTTTCTATATCAGTTGACTTCTTGCTTCCATTCCATTTCTAAACATAATTGACACCTTGCTTAGTGATGGACTTGTTGCCTGCTTCATTACAAAGCTGAAACGGAACTTACGACGAATGATTATGATTTCTGTTCAATTTAAAGGTGATCAATTTTTATACCTTGCGTTATTTAAATTTCTAAAAACCAGAGGAGTTTTCCTCAAAAACTTCTGATTGTCTCTTTCCACTAAAGGCTCATTAAAGAACGTGTCGGAGCACACCTTCCACTTAGCCCGGTACGTTCATCACAGCTTGAAGAGTTTCCACCACGGTAACGGGTCGCCCCTCGCCCGTGTTTACGGGACAGAAGGACGCCCGTGGGCCCTCGACCAGCACGGGCCAATCGTCAACTTCAACGTCTTCACAGACTCAGGGGACTACGTCGGCTTCACTCATGTGAGTCAAAATGCGTGAGGGCATGACATGTATTTTGAGGATCGCCCCATAATGTCCCAATTCTATTCTTTTATTTATATATATATGACAAAAAACTGGTTTACAGTACTTGGAGTAATTTACTTGGATCATTAAAGTAATTACAGTACAGTAATACAGTAATTTACTTGGATCATTAATTTTTTTTATTACGTTTAGCTGCATTTGCTGCTAGGTTTTTTCAGCAAATTTTAATATCTTCTGGGCAGGTTGAGCGCGTAGCTGCCATCTACAACATCCACCTGAGGACAGGCTGCGTCTGCAACCCCGGAGCCTGCCAGACGCACCTCGACTTATCCTCGGACGTGTTGCAGCAGCAGCATTCGGTGCGTTAGCCAGCATTAGTACGTGAGCACGAACAATATTAGTACGTGAGCACGAACATTAGTATTAGTACGTGAGCACGGGCAATATTAGTACGTGAGCACCAACAATATTAGTACGTGTGCACGGGCAATATTAGTACGTGAGCACGAACAATATTAATATGTTAGCAGGAACGCCTCTTACACCACAATAAGAATACATGTGCAGCATTAGTTACTGACATGGCTGCGAATTTAGTGACCTCATCTGTACAAACATACTGCATTTGTTCGTGCATAACTGCAATATTAGTAAGTGAGCACGAACAATACTAGTGCGCGAGCACGAACAATATTGGTATATGCGCACGAACAATATTAGTACGTTAGCAGGAACGCCGCTTACACCACAATACGAACACATGTGCAGCATTAGTTACTGACATAGCTGCGAATTTAGTGACCTCATCTGTACAAACATACTGCATTTGTTCGTGCATAACTGCAGGATTTTGGTATTCTTTTCAAATTATGCGATTTGATGCAGAAATATTTGCATGTCCGACTGGCTGCTGCTAGAATACTCACAATGAAATATGTATTGAGCTTACCAATTTCTACAATAGGCGCATTCACTTGAAAATTTTAAATGAGATGTTTGAACTTACGGCTGAGGTCATTTTAATTCAATCATTTAATTTCAGTTCATTTATTCATTAATTAATAATTAATTCTTTTATATTTTTACACAGAAAGGCCACGTGTGTGGCGATAGCGTGGATGCCATTGAAAGCTTGCCGACAGGTTCAGTGAGAGTGAGTTTCGGGTACAGCAGCACCTACGCCGACGCCGACCTCCTGCTGCGGATGTTGCGCGATTGCTTCATCCAAGGTCAGCTTATTCTTGACACTCACTGGATGACCAACAGCGAAAACCTTGAGAAAAACGCGACGTTAAACGAAAACAAGATCCGAGAAGGCAATAAAGGGCGAGAAAATAGGGAGTATAATGGCAACCCAAAAGATGTTTGTGTAGATGTCAATGGCAGTGGTGGACGTGATGGTTTCTCCACATCGTCAAGTCAGCAACTGGAACAAAATTCCATCTCCTCTCAGAATATCAATAAACCTGATATTTTAACTACTAACAACCACAGAAACACTGCGGATACAAAATTCGTCGCTGAACCTCAATTAATAATTCCATCTGATGCAAGTCCCCCGGATTTCAACCCCCTTTCATCAAATGGCTTTTGCAAGGACTCTCTGGACCAAAAAACTAAGCGTTCTGTTGTCATAACGGACCTTAAAATTTACCCCGTGAAGTCGTGTGGTGGAATGAGTGTCTCGTCATGGCGGCTGGGTGACCAAGGTCTTCTATACGATCGTCACTGGATGGTTGTGACGAAGGCAGGCTACGTCATGACGCTCAAGAGGGAGCCGCGCATGAGTCTTATTAAACCTTTTGTTGACTTGCACACTCGTCAGCTGAAGCTATCTTTCCCAGGTTAGTACTTTGACATGCATATTTAATAGAAATACAACATATGAAAATGTATAACGTAATAATATAGCGAAGCAAAGAATCAGCGGTATTTAATTTTTTTATTCACACAAAACAAGGGGGCAAGGAGGAAAATGTACTCTTCGAAGTAAGGCTGCACTTGCCTAATAAACACCAAAGATGCTCACTCTTCTGTCCAAGTACGTTATACACGGCGATCATTCTTCCTAGCGTGCTAAAAAATATTGCAACATTAATGTTCTTTCCGTCCTGGATAAGTCAACAAATTGAAGCCTACCCGTTCACACAAAGAGTTGAACGACGATATATTTTTAATGAATCGACCTTCTTTGCTCCCTGGAGTGCTATATTTTTTAAAAATAAAGACTTTGCATATGCCCCGACAGCATGTGACAATCGCGTCACATAGAAAAAGAATGTAAATGGTCTTGAAATTTTCCTCAGGTCTACTTAAAAATTTCTTTCTCTCCTTCCAATATTCGTATAACTTTGAAAATTGTAAGTTTTACTTTCTAAACAGGGCACGACAGCGTTGAAATTCCCTTAGACTCTCAGCAGTCAGAAGACGCGGAGGATGAGAAGGTTTCTTTGCCGTGTAACGTGCGCGTGTGTGGCGATAAAATCCAGACCCAGGACTGCGGTGTTCAAGTCGCTGAGTGGCTGTCTAAGGTCATTACTATACAATATTTTAGTCATCTTACGCTTATTTCAAAGTTTATTTATTAAAGAATATTTCTCCATAGATTATTACTAGATTGCCCATTGTTACAGCTTGTATCTAGTAACTTTTATGTTTAAAAACTTGCTCCTGTCATGCTGTATTTCATATCTAAAACCAAATTCTAACGATCAGCATTTTCCAGGTTCTGGACATGGCTGAACTGAGGCTCGTGCGACAGTCAGGAGCGCGAGGCCGCCGCTCTCATGCTGGTATTTAATTAATCAGTTCATCATGGAGAGTTGAAAATAGCTTTTTTATGTTACTGTTATCCAATTTTTATTTTTTTCACAATCATGCTTCCCAATATCAATGTCCTCTAATTGAAAACAACCAAAAATTGAAATACCTACTCTGATTTACGTGATTTTTTCAAGTAATGTGAACTTCTTTCCGAGGCCCGTGATCATTTTTCCATTGAATTTGTTATTCATTGCTTCGCGTATTTCTCGAGCAATTCTGAAACATTTGTTGGTATGAAGACGTGAAAATTTAAAGCCACTTGAATACTTGATATTTATCATTTTTAATGTCCCGAACCTGCAGATCTTTTTGATCGCAGCTTCATGCTTTGAAAATGTTTCATAAGCTAGTCAAACCTAATAGTTAATGTTTTAGCGCATTTTCTCTTTTATGAAAAAAAGGCGCTATTGTGCTCGTCATGCCCGTCCGTTTGTCTGTTTGTCCGTCCGTCCGTCCGTGACTATGTTTTCGTCGACGAGAAAATGCGCTCTCTGTCATTCACTGCAGGGAGTACTGTGTTATATTTTTAGCGCATTTTCTCATTTATGAAAAAAGGCGCTATTGTGCTCGCCATGTCCGTCTGTCTGTCTGTCCGTCTGTCCGTCCGTCCGTCCGTTTCCCCACGTTTTCGTCGACGAGAAAATGCGCTCTCTGTCACTCACTGCAATGGGTACTGTGTTATATTTTTTTATCTTTTAACTATCTCGATGGCAGGACAATCTTCTGCGCCGCTGTCCCTGGCCAACGAAGCGCCGCTGCTGTTGCTGCACCGACCGTCCGTTCGTCGCCTGCTGGGGACCATCGAGAAGAACAAGCGGGACGCGCTACAGCACAGCGAGGTAGCCGACTGGCGATACTCAATGAAACTAAAGTACCAGATGGAATATATTATTTTAATATAAATAAAGATTACTATTAAAATGTTCCCAATTAATAACAAATGTTACGAATATAGTTATTTTGTTTCAAGTTTATCAATTTAACATGAACGTTTTTGGGTTCAGAACGAGGTTAAGCTGTAGCACATCGAGGCAGCTGTCTGTAGAATTTCAAATGAATCTCACATATTTTAAATCTAATTTTCATTTACGATTTTCAACTTAGCATAAATACTTCTCGGTTATTACAAGAATAACGTTGTTTTGCCTAACAATATTTCTTAGCGTTCGTGTTCACATTTTTTTCAGTAAAATATTGTGTTCGACCTTGTGACAAGCAAATGATTACTGCATTTACTCAAGACTGGTTGTAAAATTTAATCCCTTCTAGGCATCAAGTCATTACAATCAGGTAATTTGGTCGGTGCGGTTAACTTTTTCGTGACTCTCTTAAGAAAAAGAGATGGTATTTTCTTGTAGATCGTTTGACGATAAACCAGAGTAGCCTTGCACGCTCAAATCATTCCCTTTAAAGTTAAAGTACTTTAATTAAACCCGATGACATCGTTGGCGCTCCAAGTATGAACGCGTTCAAGAACAGACTAGATAAAGCTATGGAAAAATATATGTTCAGATTTGAAATGCCTAACTCCTTATCGAACCCGGTGGAAGTCTAGTAGCTTCTTCAAACTATCGCCAGTCATGAAAAGATCCGGTCAAATGACACGAGTTTAGATTCTATGAACAAGGCACGAAATGGAAAAGAATCGGCGACAGGCCACATCAGGCCTACACTTCAGAGCCGACATCACTATGTTTTGTTAATATCAATGTCCTCTAATTGAAAACAACCAAAAATTGAAATACCTACTCTGATTTACGTGATTTTTTCAAGTAATGTGAACTTCTTTCCGAGGCCCGTGATCATTTTTCCATTGAATTTGTTATTCATTGCTTCGCGTATTTCTCGAGCAATTCTGAAACATTTGTTGGTATGAAGACGTGAAAATTTAAAGCCACTTGAATACTTGATATTTATCATTTTTAATGTCCCGAACCTGCAGATCTTTTTGATCGCAGCTTCATGCTTTGAAAATGTTTCATAAGCTAGTCAAACCTAATAGTTAATGTTTTAGCGCATTTTCTCTTTTATGAAAAAAAGGCGCTATTGTGCTCGTCATGCCCGTCCGTTTGTCTGTTTGTCCGTCCGTCCGTCCGTGACTATGTTTTCGTCGACGAGAAAATGCGCTCTCTGTCATTCACTGCAGGGAGTACTGTGTTATATTTTTAGCGCATTTTCTCATTTATGAAAAAAGGCGCTATTGTGCTCGCCATGTCCGTCTGTCTGTCTGTCCGTCTGTCCGTCCGTCCGTCCGTTTCCCCACGTTTTCGTCGACGAGAAAATGCGCTCTCTGTCACTCACTGCAATGGGTACTGTGTTATATTTTTTTATCTTTTAACTATCTCGATGGCAGGACAATCTTCTGCGCCGCTGTCCCTGGCCAACGAAGCGCCGCTGCTGTTGCTGCACCGACCGTCCGTTCGTCGCCTGCTGGGGACCATCGAGAAGAACAAGCGGGACGCGCTACAGCACAGCGAGGTAGCCGACTGGCGATACTCGATGAAATTAAAGTACCAGATGGAATATATTATTTTAATATAAATAAAGATTACTATTAAAATTTGGCCAATCAATAACAAATCTTACGAATATAGTTATTTTGTTTCCAGTTTATCAATTTAACATGAACGTTTTTTTAGTATCAGAACGAAGTTAAGCTGTAGCACCGCGATGTTGCCGCTTTGCCATACTCAATGAAATGTGTCAAATGCAAGCAACCAACGCATGACATTACTATACTGTAACTGTAGATTAATATTGCAGAATTTTAAATTAATCTCATATATTTCAAATTTTCCTTTACGATTTTCAATTTGGCATGTACCCTTTTCGGTTGTCACAAAAAAACGTTGTTTTGCCTAATACGTAATATCTCTTTGTAATCATGTTCACACGTTTTTTCAATTTTTCAATAAAAGATTGTAAATAACCTACTGACGAGCAAGTGCTTACAGCATTTACTCATGACCGGCTTTAAAATTAAGGCAATTTTGATCAGTGAGGTTAACCTTCTCGTGACTCCCTGAAGAACAAGAGATGGTATTTTCTTGTAGATCGTTTGACGATAAACCAGAGTAGCCTTGCACGCTCAAATCATTCCTTATAAAGTTTATATACTTTTATTACACTCCGCGTTGATTGTTCGCTCAGGATTGTTTGGTGGAAAGATTCCGAGGCAACGTCGTGCTGGACGGCGGCGCAGCGTTTGAAGAAGATGACTGGACTGTTCTCAGTGGCGACCAGCAAACTATACAGGTGACACGCAAGTGAACTTAAATGTTAAGTCAGTGATATTGTTTGTGATTTTATTTAATTAAATAATTTACCTAAATATTTTAATCAAATAATAATATAATTCATGATTTTAATTATTGAATCACTTCCTCAGCGGTCAATTTGTACATTTTACTTTGTCTAATAGCGTCTATAACATTGTCGTGTTAATGTATTAGTTTAACGACTATTAATTAACGACTGTTTCCAGAACTCGAGCGTTATGATGCTCGCGTTTGTGTTTTATATCGGTGTTTAGTTAGTGTTTACTATTTCTTTACTAGTATTTACAACAATGATGTTTATAGGTGTTTAGTTTGTGTTTACCAAATATTTACCATAAATAACAATGATGTTTAAGGTGTTTCGATAATGTTTACTATATATGTACCATAAATAACAATGTTTATAGGTGTTTCGTTTATGTTTACTATATGTGTACCATAAATAACAATTATGTTTATAGGTGTTTCGTTAGTGTTTACCAAATGTTTATCATGTGCAACAATTATACTTATGGGTGTTTAGTTTATGCTTACTATATGTTTACCATAAATAACAATGATGTTTACAGGTGGTTGGATTGTGCGAGCGCTGTCAAGTAGTGTCCGTCACACCAGGCTCCTCCAGTCGAAGTGTCGAGCCGCTGCTGTCGCTCAAAACTCTACGGGGAGCACGTGCAACATTTGGCATCCTGGCGTCCGTTTCGCCTGCTGTAAATTCAGAGTCAAATATCTCAGTGGGAATGAAATACGCTGTGTAATTTGTTGTTAGCGACGAACAATTTACAGAGTTCGAGCTTAACTTGAAGTCTCTTTTCTTTAGTTTTAGGCCGAAGAGCATAAACATCACTGAACTTTTCCCTTAAACCTTTTGGTGGACAACTGTAGTTGTTGGAATTTTTGCTTTACACAAGCAGCACATTTAAAGTGGAGCATTAACGTCTGCAGTGAAAGTGCATTCCATAATCGTGTGAATACTCATCTAAATAGCAAGAGAGCTCACAATCGGATGACATTGACGTGAATAATGAATTTCAACGTGTAATGCAATACGCGGCTTGCAAATTCGGACCAATAATAACACTATTTCTGCGCAAACTCTTATACCCAAAAATATTTTTTCCGAAAAATAAAATATATAATAATAATGGCCGTGTTTACGACTCGTGCTGTGACAGAGCATCTACATCGGTATTCAAATTGAGTATATTAATATTTTTATTTGTTGGTTACTAAATGCTGTTTTAGTAACCATTTAGAGCAACAAAAATTCGTTGATCTAATTGAGTAGTCGATGCCAGCGTGTGAATGTTGTTTTAAGACTGGCAAAGCAACTGGTGTATCCTGAGCGCTTTTCGTTTGCACCAATTGAGGAGAACGGATGAACTAAATTATCTTAGCTGATATGACAAATTTACTTGAACTCTTATAACTAATTTACCTGAACTAACATGTCTAAACTATTTAAAATTTCCAATGGAAGACAAAATAGAAAACGAAAGTGCATGCGGCTTGTGCTCTATGCAGTAACTAAATTGTTGATTTCTCCCATACATATTACACCTAAAAAAAAGTATTGTATCAAGATTTCTAATTACTAAAAATGTACGCTCTAATATTTGTTCACATTTTCTTGGTATATATGAGTGTATAATCTATGCTTCCGGCAGGTCGTATCTAATCTATGATACCACCGTACGCTTCAGCTCTGATTCTGTCACGCTTATTTTAAGGCCTCATCTTAGCATTAATATTGCATTAATTTGTTTATAATCTACGATGTTTTGCTCGAATATCTCTTCCGTGCTAGAAAACATGGACTTTTGGCTGTCTATTTTTATATAAAATATCTGTTTTTGGTGTTTCCAAAAATTTTATTGTTTTTAAAAGATAATTTATTTCTCTGCCATTTCTTTTCTCTCGGGCTTGCATTCATTTCTTAACAACATGAAAAATTACTTTTGCAATATTAGACTGATTACATCTTGTAGCGGAAAGTGTAAAAGAACAAAAATTCATCGATTTATAATAAATTGATGGCGTGAGGATAAAAGCAATGATAGCCTTAAAACAGTCAATTATACGTATATTCATTGGAAGTATTTTTGATAAACAATTCATTATATATTACATATCACACTTATACGTACTTAGTATACTTATTATAAATGTGTCCGCTCTGACCTGTTGCTTCGTGCCTGTGTTATCTCAGTTCGTGAAGCTGCTCTATCAGCGCTCTGATAAATAAAGTCAAAATATCTTGTAGCGATGTGTAAACAAACTAATTACATGATAAAACATTATTATATTCATTTCCCAAATTTTACGATAGATTATCTGTTATCTTATTTCTTAAATATTGCATCGTTTTCCTGCTGTAAAATATTGTGCGTAATTTTTGTGCGTAAAAACTTTTGTCGACCAATTTTGAGGTGGGAGGAAAAATGGGGCTCAAAGAGTTGTCAAGTTTGCAATATTATAATATTTGTTGTTTCAAATCTGGCCAAAATAGGTCATAGATCGCGGTAATGCAAGAAGCACAAGAAAGAATGAAAGAAAAGGTGCGTAGCCATGAAGTTCCCCTAACAAGGCCTTCTGATTATTGAATTATAAATAAATTAATGGTTATCAATTATAATTATTTTCTCTAACTTATTTTATTTATATGAAGGAGCAATACATTACGAAAGAAGTGTATTCCAGTTCATTGCAGCGTAAAGCCAGAACAGTTATTTACTTATTTCCATCCCCAGGATCGACGTGAAGACTCTAATGTATGCAAATGAGTATAAGAGTTATGAAATATATGAAATATATATATATTTATAATATAAGAATTATGAGTTATGAAAAAAATGCTCAGCACTTAACGTAAAGTAAGTGAGTTTTTTAAGTGCGACGTACTGTTTCGAATTGCTTTGACGAGTAGAATCCTGACGTCGATTAACGATTTAAATCACCCTATTCATCAGCGTCGTCTAAATCTTCGTATTTTCTTATTTGTAGTCGGGATATGAAATTATTTAAAGAGACGAAGTGACAAGGAGGGACAGGTGACAAGGAGGGACAGGTGACAAGCAACAGAAACTAAGACACTCGAACAAGAGGTCGCTTACACGGGACGTCGGCCGCCCGCACGAGAGAGACAGAGAAGGGAAATGTAAGGAATCCTACCTACATAATAACTTAAAACCACAACTGAGACCTACAGTCAGACACCGCGAGCTCAGCGGTGGGGCGCTCAGGAACAATCCCCCTAGGAACGCGAAATCCCATAGGACTTCTGACGAGCACAGACACCCGTCAGAAGTCCCCCCTGAGTGGATTAGGAAAGAAAGGAAGGGAAAAATTTTACTTCCTATAAGGGAAATAAATAAAATGCTTTTATAAATTTACAAAGATAAAAATCTAAAAAGTACGCGTGATTGTATTATTTTTCAGTAAATGAACGTTTAGTTTGATGTTGAATGGACAGCTCATAATATCCACTATATTGCGTATGAGTGAGCCAAAGGTCGATGTTGTATTTATTCATTCAATCGATTGAATGAATGAAAAGATTTCTAAATAAAATCACATAATATATTATACATAAATTATATTCTTGACTTTGTAATAGAACTTAGCTAAAACTAATAAGTCATAATGAGTAATAACACTAATTAAGTTGTACGCAATTTTATTTCTGAGGTTCAGCTAGAGAAAGATTGTTGAAAAAAAAGTTTCAAATTATCACGATTTTTAACTATTTAGTGTTATAGATATTTAATTAATTATAATTCAATGAGTTATAATTCAATGAGTGTATGCAACAACTATTCGGCCAGACCCTGACCACCGTGTCTGGTCAGTGCATCTAAAATAATCTAGGGAACAATTGCCGAATACTTCTTATATGGTCACCTATTAATTCCCTTTTTGGTAATTTGGATGCCTTCTGCATACTTTTCAAGCTTGTAAACGATTTCTTTTTCAAGCTTGTAAACCTTATTTATGCGTCAGCGTCATGTTCGTTCAGCTTGCGACACCGGCAAGTGACATTCTTTCGCGTGCACAACAACGACCTGTTATCATCTCTTCAAGGAATGTTCTTATCTGTCATTAGCTGTGACATGGTGCACAAGGTTTGATCAGTAATATTCTGTTCCTGCTATGAAACATTTGACATTTTCATGACATCTTAGAGCTAAGCGTTGTGATAAGAGCAGCGGCATATTTAATACAAACGATAAGAGGTGTCAACTGCTGTACGAATACCTCGGCTGAGCCATGCTAACTTCACACGGTGTCGCTAGCTTGTGAATGACGGGCTATACAACAGATGGCTCCCAGATACATTAGTACTTGGCATATGATAAATTTTTCTGGACCTAATTTGTATAATTTTTTAATTTAAGGAATAATTTTCCATAAAAAATTACTACATTTCTGCGAAGGAAATTATTGTCCAAATGATTTAATAAACTTGGCGCTGAAAGAAATATATTACCTACTAATTTTTTGGTCCACGTGATTTAATAGTTATTAGATTATTATTTTTAAAGTTGAGTCTGGAACAAAATTATAATATTCACGTAAAGAAAGAAAATATCGGGAAATAAGATAATTTTCTAGTAGTAATGGGCTAATATTGCAATAATAAATTGCGTGAAATAGCAGAATAAATTATTTAGCAGTTCTTACTGAATTGGGCCTCTTCCCTCTGGCGGCTGCATTTCCGTTGAACAAGTGCGACATGCCGTCATGCAAAGTAAGTAAATCAGTAGTTGCTATTCTTTTATATTCCTTCATTCATAAATTCATTATGTCCTTCATATTCCTTCGTAGCTCCTACATGACCACAGCAGAATTTGTCGTAAACTTTATTAAATAGCAGTATTCCACATTAACATAGCAACAAGACATAATTTATCGCAAGTACGTCATGATGTGGTTAGAATTTGCAATTAAGTGGCCAACATCTCTCATTATTTTCGTTGTGAAATGAATAAGCTATATCGCCTGTATGGCACCTCACAAACGATATGTCAGCGATAACTGATGAGTCGCGACGCGGGTGTCGTGCGACGCATTTAGTGACGCTCATCGTTCAGAGAAGTCGAATTAAGTGCGGGAGGTGAACAAAAAATTTATTGGTACTGAGAACTGACCTAAAAATCACGGGATTGGTATACATTGCATCAGTATACTTTCATCAGTAATAAATTATATGGAAATGACGAACTAGGATATATCTATAGTTTCTTATAGCCATGCTATCTAGTTTCTTATAGCCAGGCAATTTAGTTTCTTATAGCCTGGCTACCTAGTTTCTTATAGCCAGACTCTCTAGTTTCTTATAACTAGGCTGTCTGGTGTCTTATAGCTCAGGCACTTTGGCAGGCATTTATGTAAGCGCTCTAACATGCTAAAAAATAATAACAAAACCTACCAATTAACAATGCAGTGACCCTACTCCACGATCTAATCTTAACCTAAAATTAAGAAGAATGGAATTTTACCTCCCATCAATTACCATCTGGAACAAATTTGCAAAATTATCGACAAAAAATGTCAATCTTATGTGAATCTCATGTCAATATTAATTTATCATCGAAGTTGGTTCCTGTGTAAGCAAGGCATTTGTTAATACGAAAGCACCAGCACAGAGTCTTCTTTGGAATAGGTCTCAAATTTTCTGTACCTATCAGATAATTTTTGAGTGAATTAAACCTATAATTAAATACACTCATTTTCCTTTGGATAATCATTTCATGCTTGGAATTTAGTTTGGTGCCACAACGATTTATAATTTTATATGATTTATAATTTTTTAATTATAAACAATGCGCTAGATATAGCACTCAACGAACCGATAAAGTTTGCCGAAAAGTGGGCAGAAAATTTGAAATTTTTGCTGATATTAATCGTTTAACACAACTTGCAACTGTCTAGGCGGTAAAATTTATGCAAACATTCACGCTTGAATAAAATAGGAAAATGGAAACTAAAAATAAAGTTCATAATAATATTTGTTTAGTTCCACTTCGTATTTGATATAGATGAACTGAAATCAATCAATGTATTTTAAATTTCCAACGCTGTGGCGTTAACAACTAAACTGTGCAAATCCTTCATTGCCTGAACGCAATCAACCTCAAAACCGAGGAATACATTCAAATAAAAAAAATTTAGTTCAAAAAGATATAGAAATTTCTCATCAGTGGAAGAGCATTAGAACACAAAGTGACTGCAGTAAATTTCTGTTCACTCCGATGAAGTTCAATTATAAAGGCTTGTGAATAATGGAAATATTCCATTGAAAAAAATTTGGTTAATATATATTAAATTTACAAATTCAGGCAAGAGAATAAATATTTATGGTTCAGAGGAAATAATTGTGTAGCTTTAATTCCTCTAGAATCATGGTTCCAGGAAATAATCATGTCCACAGAATACAATCCAATCTTCTAGACCAAGTGGAAACCAATTCAATACAACGCTTGCCGCTTCGTGCCGCTGCACGCTCCTACACTTCAGTTAGCCCTGCTTACGGACGGAACTTATGACCAGGCACTGGCCAGACTGTCTCGATTCACTCGCGTCTAATAAATTATTGTTGTTCGTGAAGTGTAAAGGTCACCTTATAATGTGAACTATGCTTCTGGTTCAGTATCCTTGATGACACTGTACGTGCACCATATTTCTGATACTTCAGGCACCGATGACGTTAGCAGTAATTGTGACACAACCTCTGAATGATCATTGCGCTTGCTTCGAATTTTGCTTAATTTTTCGATCCTGCTTCGGTAAAAATCAAATCGGAACGCTTGGTTCTTCACATAGCTGAAGTGAATATAGTACACATTTTTTGTCAATGGTACGCAAGCATTGTTTCATTCTACTTGTTTGTCTCGCTTACCGTCGGCAAGATAACGTCAGGCTTTCCACGTCAGTTTAAAGCGATCCAATTATGTCGTGACATACTCGCATATGTTAACAGTTGGATAAAACAAAGGCTTTATCATTTATTCGAATAAATCGCAAATTAACCAGTAATTTAAAGGCAAAGAAAATGTCCAAACAATTGCTAATGTTTATATTGAGAAAGATTTGCCGGCCCAACGTCTGTTTAGAATCAGAAAATCAGTGTTACAGAAGCCAAATCACATGAGAGGACTAAACAATACGAAAAGCCTTCATTTGGTAAACTGTTCCGTTCACATTTGTCAAGGTTCATGAAGTGACCTAAATCTTGTGTGGTATAAGTGTTTCAAATGCATGCTATTGTCATGTCTTGAATTAGATAAGAATTACCCGAATAGTGAGAGTTTGAATCAGATGACTGATAACAATAGCTACTCTGACACTTGTAAATAAAGCGCTCTAAATTAAAGAAATTAATTTAAAGCTTTCGTTTGACTTTACAATTTTCCCTCGGACACTTTTTATCTGTTTGAATTTGATGTGTTTATTTTAACAGCGTTTTCTATAAATTACTCTAGCTCTAATTTCTTGTGTTAATTCAGAATTCTAATCATAAAAGATTTCTGGTGGCATACGGTACAAGTGTTTTATCGTGCTGTCAGTTGACCCACGGCTGACCTCCTTAGATAACACTCGTGATTTTGCGTGTGTTTGTTCACAGGCCCAATTGTTGCAGCTCTAAGAAATAGATCTTCTCTAACTCTCGAATAATCAGGAGCTATTCTATTAAAAATAGCTGCCAGTTCATAACTTACTAGCTCAATCATTGATGGCTTTTCAAGATAAGCCCACCAATCATAGACGAGAAATCCGCCGTTACATGTACTTAAGTGAGTTTTGATAATACGGCCATAGGAAGGTCTCGAGGACATGAACAGCAATCATAAGTTTAATTCCTCACAGGAAGGGCCATGGATGTGGGTGACCGCAACGCTGGTAATGTGTTCAGTGTTGTCGGTGCAGCAGAGCTCAGTGTACGCCAGTACAGCGGTGGACAGCCAGGTGCGCGTCACACTGAAGGATAACGGCTACATTGGCGTCACTCTTGCCATCGACCCTCAGCTCGATATCCCTGTGCCGGACAGAGGAAGCTTTTTGGCTGCAATACAGGTAAAAATTGAATATTTATTCAAGCCAATATCTTAATAACAATTTCTAATTTTGCTTTTACGGATTGAGTTTTCCATTTTTCCCACCTGCTACTGAGTATAAATAGTCCCGTGGATGTATCTCTTAGGTATACAATCTTTAGAATCAATTACAACTGGGCCTTACATGTACTCTTACATAAATTTACGCGGGTAAAGATATGGCTATTTATGGTTATTTTGTAACGATGATTTGTTCGATGTTTGTGCCATAAAGACGCTCATGACTCGCGCGTCAGCGTCGCTGTACACGGCCACGCAGCAGCGCGCATACTTCCGTGACGTGACCGTCGTGGTGCCGTCAGACTGGGACGTCGGTGCTGAGGTCGACACGTCGGGGTACGTGGCTACCATTAAATTGATATTAAATACTTAATCTCCAGACAAATGAGGCTGAAATAACGTTAATTATGAGTCGAATTCGTTGGAACAACTCTTATTCGACGTTTTTTCAAAGTCAAATGCCTGATGGTAAGTACGATTTAATGTTGTTAACTATTACTATTATATATTACTATCATTTGCACTACAGGTTATCGTACAGCTACTCTTTGCTATTTATTTATTATTATTTGTACCACAGGTTATCGTACAGCAACTCTTTGCTATTTATTTACTATTATTTGTATTACAGGTTATCGTACAGCTACTCTTTGCTATTTATTTACTATTATTTGTACCACAGGCTATCGTACAGCTACTCTTTGCTATTTATTTACTATTATTTGTACTGCAGGTTATCTTACAGCTACTCTTTGCTATTTATTTATCGTTATTTGTACCACAAGTTATCGTACAGCTGCTCTTTGCTATTTATTTACTATTATTTGTACTGCAGGTTATCGTACAGCTACTATGTGCTATTTATTTACTATTATTTGTACTACAGGTTATCGTACAGCAATTCCTTGCTCCGCGTCACCGATCGCAGCTTCGCCGCCGCGCCAGTGAGTGAAGGGGAGAGTGGTGAGTGAAGGGAGACTGGTGAGTGAATGGGAGAGGGGTGAGTGAAGGGGAGAGTGGTGAGTGAAGGGGAGAGTGGTGAGTGAAGGGGAGAGTGGAGAGTGACAGGGAGAGTGGTGAGTGAAGGGAGACTGGTGAGTGAAGCGGAAAGTGTTGAGTAAAGAGGACAGTGGTGAGAGAAGGAGAGAGTGGTGAGTAAAGAGGACAGTGGTGAGTGAAGGGGAGAGTGGTGAGTAAAGAGGACAGTGGTGAATGAAGGAGAAAGTGTTGAGTAAAGAGGACAGTGGTGAGTGAAGGAGAGAGTGGTGAGTAAAGGGGACAGTGGTGAGTGAAGGGGAGAGTGATGAGTGAATTACACTGCGGCTGAGAGATAAACTAAGGACTCGATGCTTCATTCATTCTTCATTTTGTACACTGCATGACGTGAAACTTTTTTGTACACTTTTTGTACGTGATGGTAGCACAGTACACTGCACGTTGATTGAGCGGTTATGCGTTACGAGCAGTCAAATTCCGCCAATATTCTTCAAAATTAAAGTCACATCAAAAACCTTCAGGAACTTGTCATTATAGAAGTAAATTAACTGTGAACGAAAGTTTTTTAGACACATAACAACAAAATGAGTCTAACTGATTTACTATTATATTAATAACTTATGGGTTGGCATTTTAATTTGTTTGAGTTGGTTTTGAAAGGGTTTGCGTTTTTTTATTGCCAATATAGTAGATGATGGGCACCGGCATTTTTGTGTTTAGGTAAATTGTAAAATGTGTTAGTAAGGAAGAACCATAAATATTCATAATTGGTATTGTTAAAATTAAATGACTGCTAAAGTCAGTCAAGTTAAATACGTGTTCGTGTTATAACATTTCTTACTTAATTATTCGCTGGCCAGGCAAAGTGCTGGCGCAGGAATGGCTGCAGCTGCGTTACGGTGTCTTCCCGGAGCATGGCTTCCCTGGAGACGCGCTCTACCCTCACGTGTACGAAGATCCTGTCGCCAACACCACCCTGCCCACCAGCTGCACCATCCTTAATGAGCTCTCCTACTCCTGGGTTGACAGGTGAGGGAACTACCCAACACCACCCTGCCACCACCTGCACCATCCTTAATGAGCTCTCCTACTCCTGGGTTGACAGGTGAGGGAACTACCCAACATCACCCTGCCCACCAGCTGCACCATCCTCAATGAGTTCTCCTACTCCTGGGTTGACAGGTGAGGGAACTACCCAACACCACCCTGCCCACCAGCTGATGTAAAGAGCGGTGACATCGCATAGCCTATAAGTTTTCGTATGCTTAATTTGTCCCGTTAATGTACCGTTGCAAATGTTCAGTCAAACCAGTTGACCAAAATCAAATATAGCTAATTTGTATCCAACTTCGAGTGCAAACTAAAAGACAATTTATTTCAAGCCTCTACGTCACAAGATAGCGCATCTGAGCTGGCCGATGTAAAGATAACATAATTTCGGTCACGCGCCTGAGGAACATGCGATAGACTATCTGATAATGCTAAAAACTTCACTCAATTTGATTGATGCTTGAGATATCAGCTCCATTGAGGTTAGTTTATTCAAACAAATTGGATTTTTGGTTCAGTGGAAATTTTTGGTAGTCAACCAGTTTTGGAATCATGTTCTGTTACTGAAGGAGATCAAGATGAAAATAGGGAACTATGATAAGCTTATTCCTATTAGATGTATTTATTGTAAATGACCACAATATTATCACAGTCAACAGGATATAAATGCATTTTAGATTACAAAAAACTGACTCCGTTAAATGTACATAAATGCATTGTAAATAACTACAGAACTGTCACAGTCAACTCGATAGAAATGAAACGAATTTAATCAAAGAGCTATTGTAGGCAGCGCTGCCCAACGAGACATATTGTAAATAAATTTCATAGAAGATCTGTTATCAGCGCCGCACACATCACATACGTACAGTACTTATGTACATTGAATACATTTTATATTATAATTACTTACAACCAATCACAGGTCTGGTGCGACTTGCCAAGCAGACGTTGCAGACCCCGATTGTCGGGCCCTCCTGGACAGTAAGCAGACCACGGCCACTACATCCATACTCTTCTCGGCAGCTCTGGCAACCGTGAGCCTTATATTATGTTATTTAAATCATGATTATATTTTGAATTATGCAGATAATTTCAGAAACAATAGTAAGCTTGTGTTCGCTTGGAAGGTGAATGTTCTCGATACTCCTAAGTAAAAATTTGAACTTATTATCATATCTATTTTACAATTTTTATTTACTTCAATGCTGTTTTCAAAATTTACCATCACCATAACTAATGAATGACTTCAATATGAATTTAAATGCAGAGCTAAAATAATGTTAAATGTTTATAAAAATTATAAAAATACTCAATTTTTCACTAAAAGTATATTGAAAAATCACGAAAGTTGATGCAACCTGTTTGCAAAGATCCATGCCTGTGGCAATCCACTTTACTTGAAAATAGATAACCCGAGTATTTTATTATTGACAAGTCACAGGTTAGTCACTCCTATTCAGGTGTCGGAAGCCTGCACAGACGACACGCACGACGCGGTTGCCCCCACACAACACAACCGCCTGTGCGGTGGCCGCAGCGTCATCGCCGTCGTTCTGGAGCATCCAGACTTCGCGAGTGAGCTCGGAAATTGCAAATTATGAAGTGTACATTAAGAACTAATTTTATAAGGCAGCAATTATGAAGCCAATTACTTCAATAAAACCAGACTTCGCGAGTGAGCTCGGAAATTGCAAATTATGAAGTGTACATTAAGAACTAACTTTGTAAGGCAGCAATTATGAAGCCAATTACTTCAATAAAACCAGACTTCGCGAGTGAGCTCGGAAATTGCAAATTATGAAGTGTACATAAATAACTAATTTTGTAAGGCTGTAAGGTAGTTAATTAGGAAACCAATTACTGCAATAAAAAATGATCCATGCTTCAAATTAATATCTGGATTCACTTATCGCAGTCAATTAACATTGAACCACATTGCAATTCATTCAGTGTTAATCTTTTCGCGTGTTCCATCAGTCGATGTAATTATGATTAGGTAATTCAAATGCATATGTATTGTCTTACATTACCATATCTGATGGATTAAACCGATTACCGCAGCCCAAATTTTTGTTTTAGACGGCAGTAACATGCCGGGAGCGGTGATGGATACCACGCCTCAGTTCAGGACATGCCAGAGCCAAAGCAAGCCGCTCTTTCTGCTGCTGGACGATTCAATTCGGGTAACTTCTCTCGCTGGAAAACTTGCCTGGAATACTACACTCTAGCTGGTTCTACTTTCTGCATTCTTTAGGTTACTTAGTAATTGAATGCATGCTTAGTTATTCATTTTGGCCCGATTTAGAGAGATCGAAATATATGATTTCGCTAAATGCATTAAAGTTCACAAGAAAAATTTTTTTCAAATTCTTCACGAGGCCAGGACATTTCATGCGAACGCTTCCATGACTTATTCACATCGTTAATTTCCCGTTTTCGCTACAATTCCTGCATCTGTTACTAAGATAGTTTGGCTACCTTCAATTTTTATTCTTGTAGCTCGACCCTCCGAACAATGGCTTCGCCATCTACAACACATTGCGGGACACTCTGAGGACGTTGTTACACGCCCAAACAAATCTCAAGATCGGACTCATGAAGTTTGACAAGGACAGTACAAGTACTTACAATAACACCGCACTAACTGACGTATCATCGCTGGACATCGAAGACTTTCTTTCCTTCATCCCGAGTGAGCTACGAAAAAATGAGTACTATGTTGGAGTTTCCAGCGCGATGGTGGCGGCAGCTGAGCTTCTCAAAGACGAGGGCCAAGTTAATCTTCTTTTAGTGCAAATTAGTACCAATGTAGATGTCACCACTCCTGACTTGAGCTCTTACCCTGATTTGACGGTCAATGCGGTCCTGCACCATGATATGCTCTACAACAAGTGGATAGAAGCGATAGTGAGCGACAGTGGAGGTAACAGTCTTATAAAGATCTCATTTTGCGCTTAAAAAAGGTGAAAAATTGAAATAAACTTAATATGTGAATTCAAAGCTTATTGAATGAAATTTGTTATCTGCATGAAGAACTTCATATCTGCGTATTTTCTGTCCTTAGTTCTGGTTTATAAAATATGAAAATTTATCACATTTCAATTGAGTAGTTCTTACGTCCATCAGTACATAAGGAGCTTCTGTGAATGTGATAATGCTACTTGAAATATGATATAAATCTCTTAATGATTCTGATGGAGTTATTGCATTGAAGGTGAATTTCGTTTTGATGCCTTGAGTCGACCATCAACCAGCGCCAGCCTCTTGGAGAAATTGGCAGGGGACGCCTCGACCGATTTTGTGAGTATATGCAAATGTCGTACCGAAATCGCGGAATTGATTCTATGGAACTGGCTGATGATTCTATGGAATCATCAGCCAGTTGGCCGAATCTGTAGAATCAGCATTTCTATACTATAAGAATCTGGGTTAAGGTCAGTCAGCCAAGTTTTTTTTATATTTAAATGTAAAGGAACTTGACCGAATTTTTCGTAACTTTTTCTAACCCTAACGGTCGACTTATGTTCTAACTCTAACTCTAACGTCCGATTTTCTTAATCAGCAACGAAATGCTGATTCTACATATTCGGCAAACTGGCCGCCGATTCAATTGAATGGGTAATTCCACGATTTCAGCGATATATGTAATTCCACGACATATATATTATATATATATTTGCTCCGGTTGTTCAAAATTCAAGTTTTTCAAATTGCCACGCGTTAAACATGCACGTACTTCAGAAACGTTTCTGGTAACTTTAAAATGGAGTTTTCGTTTGCAGTTAATAGAGGAACCCTGTTAATTAATACATCACCTGAAGTCATTTGCATTGACGATTTATAGGGTATCTAATTGTAAACATTTTTATATTTAATATTTTTAAAATTAAGAAATTAAATTTGGAAAATTTCGTCATCAGATTCAAGTCGGAACCAGCTATAATCGCAAAAAAAAATTTTTAATTGAAATTATTTTATATTTTACGCGCATTCCTTTTTCTTTAAGAATAGAATAAACTTACGCTAGACCTTCTGCCTGCAGCTCATGGATACAAGCAGAGAGCTGGCCGTGTCGGAAGATACGACAGTCGCTATCGACATAGACGCCTCTACTGGCCAGACTGCGGTCTTTTCGGTCTCCCTTCAACAAATTACGTAATGCAGAAGAGCAAACTCATCATAATTGAGCCTCATTTAATTTTCTCATACGGCAATCGTGGCCTATTTTCTAAGATATTCCCAGTACTCAGTCAATTGAAGTAATTGACTCTTCTTTCCGTTCACAAAAATTCATTTCGCTCTCCAGTAACCAAACTACCATAAACGTGAAAATATAATTTTTTGACATCATTAAAATAAAATTTTTTCGCAATACGTTGTCATCAACTAATTCGTTAATTTCATTTATCAATACAAATAAATCACAGTAATTATGATGTATTTACGCCACTATACAAATGCTTTTCAAATTTGGTGAAAATTTGTTTCTTTTTCTTTCACAGGGGCTCCAACGAAGCAAACGTAAACATTGAAACGGAACTTGTTTCGCCAGCTGGTGACGAATTCAACTTTACTTCGTCTCAGTTCGTCTCATATGCCGTCGTGACTGACGCTGAAACTGGGAAGTGGTTGTAAGTCCCGAAAAAGCCAAGCAATCAAATTCGACGCTATGAAAAGTGATTTAATGGACGCAGCGAACAATAAAAATTGTATTTTTCTAATGAAACAATTGTTGATAACCTAGTTTTGCATTTAAAATATATTGCTCTTGCGTGCTAGAAGAATTCTGTATCTTTAAAACTCGCAATGGGAAAAGTTTATGATAGCGGTAGATATGATCAGCTTGGAAGGTTAATATTCAATCTCAAGATATTAATTTCCACTTAACATATTTTTCCTCACCAGGCTCACTGTAAGAAACGCCGGACAAAGTAAAATCTTAGTATACTTGACTACCACATCCGTTCAGAGATCAACTGCCTCAACTCAAATTTTCAATTCCTGGACAAACGCAGATTTTTTCTCTACAACCCAAGATGTTGGCATGAAGCCGCTGGTTGCGTTCTTCTCGGCCTTCCAAGATGAGAAACCTATCACAAACTTGAATGTCAGTGGTTCCTTGAGGTCATTGTCGGGCACCAACACATTTCCATTATTCTTCGTGGATGATGGAGTTGGGGGCAAGTATACACTTGGTTTTGTAGCTATTTTAATGTGCATTTAAATATTTAACACGCTTTAAATTTTTGAGTTACAGGGGCAGTGAGATTCTTTTTGACATTAGGTGGGCGACCAGCGCACATCAGAATGGTTTGTGTAAAGATATATCGTATCAGAGATGAGATATATATTGTAGATAAATTACACTAGAAACGATCATTTTAAGAGTGGTTTAGTCAGCATAAGTAAATAGCAGTTCTTAATAGATCGTAATCTTGCAGTGTGAATGCATCGATTTATTGATGCTTCTAAACATTTGAGTTCTTTCGCGTAATTTATCAAAAATTCACTCATTAAACCATATGACGTAATATCAAGCAACCTTCAGAATTTTGATCTTTTTTGAAAACAACTTCATTGTTTGTCCAAGGAAGTCACTGGTACAAACAAGGATTCAAACTATTTATTTGCTATACATTTTTGTTCCAAAAATGTGATGCAGTACATTTCTCGTGACTGTACATTGTTTTGTCACTACACCATTCGGGAGATCAATATAATTTCGAAAAATTTGAATGTGAATCTATGCTAATTACATCTACGCTATGTAATTTTGTTGGATACAATTCTACGCTATTTCTACAGTGAATTCTACAGTGACAGTGAATTCTACATCTACGCTATTTATTGGATACAATTCACTGCCCAGCGTAAACTAATATTAATTCCAATAAAATTAATAAAAAACTCAAATGCCTACCTCCTTGCAGACCCTGACACCACAAAACATGATGGGATTTATACGGCCTATGCCACTGGTTTTCCATCGGGCGGAGAAAGCATCGTACTCGACGTCTCAGTCGCGTCTGTGGACACGAACGCAGCCAAGACAGTAATTCACAATTACAGATCAGCTCCTAGACTTCTTCCCTCACTGCCTTGTGAGTTGCAAATCACCGAAGGATTTTGGGGATGATTGCTTAAATCTTAGTTCAGAGTTAGGAAACTTTCCAGTGACGAACTCAGGCTTAGGAACAATCTAGGTGTGCATAGTTGTAAGGCTCGCTCAGTACGTGGGCCACTATGAATTAACTCTTTTTCAACTATCCGAGGAATGAATGCTTTTTGTCGGCAACTTTGAAAAGAAACCGTTATGGAAACGTAATTGGTAACTGACAACATTCAGAAATAAAATAATATAGAATATACCCAAACAATACGTTGTCGATACGGTATTTCGTAATAATTTCTTCATATTACTTAAATTGCATTCCCAAATTGATAACAAACTCATTAGATGAAGACAAGCCTGAGAAAAATCCTTTGTCGAGCCTTAGTTTATCCAAACCCTCACTTGGAGGGTTTGGACCAATCCAAACCCTCGTCATTAATTGTTATTTTTGTGTAACTATTGAGCTTAAAGATCCTCGTGATAACCTCTCATGATCAGCAATTAGAGCTAGAGCGTTGCAGCGAGCCTCTGTTCGAATTTCGTTTCAAAAGATTATAAGCACATCAAGTTCAAAATTATTTAGTGAAACATGGCGTCAAATTCACAGTGAGTTCACACCAATTTAGATTACGAGTACTATAAATGAGTGCTATGTTTTTAATCGCCCGTTTAAAAAAGATGGTCAAGTACCAAAATTATTTTGAATGCTTCAAGCTTTGCTTACACGTCTGAAAAATATACCTACACACAAATATTCATATGAAGAAGTAATTGATTCATGCAGGAAATTGTTCTAGCGGAAAAGAAACAACACTTACAAGATTGTCCCGCAGTCTAGCACTTCTGTAACAACTTTCGAAGCTGTTCTCTAATTCTTTCTCAAGTTTCTGATCATGGAATTGTTGCTAAGCTCACCCCTTTTGATTATACGTCTGAATTTTATCGTGTATTTTTATTGCAAATAATTCTTTCTTAAGTTCTGATTAGTGAACAGACAATGCAGGAGCTTCCGTGGAGAGCTGTGTCGTAAACTTAGATTCAGATTTATAGTCACAGTGTAACTAACAACTTCATGATTTTCTTCGTCTGCAATTTTTTTCTTCTCCGTTAACTTACATTCAAATTTATAGCCACAGTGTGATTAGAGACTCCATGATTTTCTTCGTCTGCATATTCTTCTTCTGCTTCTTCTTCTTCTAATTCGAATAATAATAATTTTTAGAAGAAGAAAAATAAGGAGAATAATAGCAAGAATAATAATTAGAATATCAATATTTTTCGTCGGTCTAGTTGACCCGGAACCATGCTGCGGGTCCGCCGTCCCGGACGGAACGGGTGTCCAAGTGAATAGCTTCGTCCGCTCCTTCAGCTCTTTTGCACCCATCAGTTTATCAGGCACTAGCGGCTACGATCCTGTGAGTTACGTAATATTTTTGTACTTATTACAACAAATACGTAATATCTGTACCATCCAGTGAAAGACGTATTCTTATTACAACAAATATTCAATTTCCGTAAGATCCAATAAGTGACATAATATTCTTGTTTTTGTTGCAACAATTGCGTAATAACTGTGCGATCCTATGAGTGACATTATATTGAGTGACGTCCGTCCTATGTCACTCATTGAGTGACGTCCGTCCGTCCGTCCGTCCGTCTGTCTTTGACTTCACGTATTCGTCGACGAGAAAATGCGCTATCTGTCACTCACTGCAGTGAGTACTGAGTTATATTTCTTCTATTTTCCCCTCAGCCGCCCGGTCGCATCAGCGACTTCGTCCTTGTGGACGTCAACGAAGGACCCGACGTGATGGCTGGGACAGTCCTCGTCAGTCTCAAGTGGACCGACACCGGCGACAACCTCAACGTGGGCACAAAAAAGCTAACTTAATTTTTACCACTGAATGAATTTTATCAGATGAACATTCAAATGTTTCCTAAGATATCGCTCTGTGCTGTACAACATATTATTTTGCTCATAAGTTATCACACAAGAATTTTACAAACGGCAAAAAATTATCATTAGCATATTATAATGCGTAAGGCAATTCAAATGCTGAATTTTACAGTTGATTGTTTTTGAAAATGTTTGACAATTTTTCAGTGAGTTTTTTTTATATTTGCTACCAAATAAATTTACTTTGTACGCTGTTAAATTGTACAGTTCATTATGTGTTCTGCATTCAGCTTCTTCATACGAACTCCGCTACAACGAAGACAGAAGTTTGCTGTCGTCTAACTTTTCGTCGGCCATTTTGGTGGAAGAGGCTGACCTCGAAGATGGTGATTGCCTTTACATAAATTATCATTTTCGCCTCAAATTCAATGCCATTAAAAAAATATAATAATAATTTTTTCAAACGATCATAATCGATAGTTGAAACGTTTTTATTTGAAAATCTATCACAAATCCGAGCTCGTCTTCTTCTGTCTAAGCCGCTAAAAGTGGATCGCTTTGGGCAAGATTAAATTGTTGATCGGGAAAAATCTCATCTTAAAACCAGATGCAAGTCATCACCAATTCTGTTTTTATAACATGTAACGATTTTAAATAAACATTTGCTATTGCCTCAATCTAAACGTATGCCAGTTGTGATGAACGTTGTTGAAGCCAAACTTTTTGTTTGACGAATGGTGTTAAAATTGTTCGCTAATTTTTTTCGGTTCCATTGCAAAGATACGAAAATATGCTGTTTTGGACTTTGTGCATTAATATATTTTGTATGAATTGCAAATTGTATTTACTTGTCAAATTTGACAAGTAGATTTTATTTAAGTGATATCGAATAGTTCCTCATATAAATTGTCAGTTGCTATTTATTTATAACAAATCAGATTTTGTAACAAATCCGAATATCATCAGGAAATAATTTAAAATTAATAATTCACAGGTGACTTGACACCTCGCGAATCCGGCACGCCTCGGACGATCACAGCGCGGCTACAGAAGCAGCCCACCGGCAGCACGGTCTATTACTTGGCCATAAAAGCCGTGGACGCCGCCGGTCAGGTGAGCGCCATATATGGGCACGGAATGTTCTATATTTATTATGTGCAGCACGGTCTATTATTTGGCCATAAAAGCCGTGGACGCCGCCGATCAGGCAAGCGCAATATATGGGCTCGGAATGTTCTATGTTTATAATTTTCAGTGCAGTCTATTTTTTAGTCACGATGAGTTTACGTATAAATGTCAAGAAGCAGTTTGGGTGACGAAATTTTTCTGATTGTTGAAGATGAATGTCACTTGATTATAGCATTTTTCAACGAGGCAGTTATAAATTTTTACAGTACCCGTGAGCTTAAAAAAATTATCTGAATTTTCAGGTAGGAGATTTGAGTCCCATAGAGATGACAGCAGTGTCGCCTGGTCACGATTTCACCACAACCACTACAACTACAACCACTACAACCACCACAACGACAGCTCCAACGACGGAGACCACAGCAGCGGCGACAACTGACACTGGGTCTACTGGAAGTCTCGTTACGGGGTCTGAAGTGTCAACTGTGACCTCTTCAGGGTCTGGGTCTACTTTGACCTCTTCGGGGTCTGGGACAACCCCAAGCACCAGCTCGACAACTCCTGGTATGGACACATTAAATACACTAACTTAATTCAACGGGAATAATTTATTCACTAAAAACGCGTTATTGTTGAAACTGTACCAGAATTTCATTTTGTTCTAATCCGATCGGCCAATTTATTTTCATATCAATTTTTTTCTCAAATTTTTACATTAATATTCCCGGAACATCGCTCGAACAAAACAGATCACAAAGCCCATTTTAATTTTTATAATTGACTGGAATGATCGAAAAAATAGTGAATCCAGTTGGCAAATCCACTTCAGCATTCTGAAGGTTGGGACAGTAAAAATTACTAGTGCATTGCCTTTAACTTTATCACTAACAAGTGATGTTAATAGTTCATGTCGCGAGTGCCATGAAACTGTGTCATTCAGCGGCCACTCATAATAATAATAATAATAATAATAGCGGTTTCAGCGTTTATTAGGCCGTAGGCCTGTCGCCGATTCTCAACATCGCAGAACATTCACAGCATTTGAGGTCTCGAACTCGCAACTCACTGCTACAATTCTGCTATGCTTAACCGCCCGGCCTCCTTGCCGATTCTGACCAGAAACTGGCGCACAGAGCTGGGATCGAACCCGCGCCTCTCTGCGCCAATAATGGAACTCTGAACTTTAACCACTGGGCCACCCTCATAGTCAATTCGATTTATTTCAGGCACATCCAGTGATGGCATCACGACGACCGAAGGTGAGATCTGTGTTCTTAATAAGTATGAGCGTGTAAGAGAGTTTATATGTATAAGAGTTTATACGTGTTAAAATAATCGCTTATACGTGTTAAGATACCGTAGCTTATGCGTGTTGAGATAAGAGTTTATGTACTTTTTAAGATATTAGCTTATACGTGTTAAAATGAGAGCGTTATACGTGTTATAATAACAGTGTTATATGTGTTAAGATAGGAGCGTTATACGCATTGGGATAAGATATTTATACGTGTTACCATAAGAGATTTATACGTATTAAGGTATGAGTGTTATACGTGTTAATTAAGGTTCTCATACGTGTGATGATAAGAGATTTATACGTGTTGATTGAGATCGAAGTAACTAGCGGTAATGTTCGCATTTGATGCTGCAGGAAGAAGTTGTGAGGGCCAACATAAGGCTTAATCTTACTCCTTCTCTGCCCTGTCGCACCGCCCGAGTAGCAAGCTGATGAAAATCGCCAATCTTGCAGTTCAATGAATGCAACGTGATGTGGATATCGTACATCGCAAATAAATAGTCCAATCGCCCGTTTTATTTTCTTTTGTTTTCATGAAGTTAACCAATATAAGGTTATCGAAACCCGAAATTACTGATTTCGACATAAACAGGATAAGAATTCTGCTGAAATTCTAAAAATCATAAATGTCAAGTGGGACAGTAAAATATTCTACCGTAAATCATTTTATGCTTAAATAATAGGGATTTTACCTTGTTGTCGATTTGCTCCTAAATGAATTCAATGTTCACGAATTTTTAAACATTTTATTGGAAACATGATTTGCTGAAATTATTTATCCCTCAGCGCCCTCCGAGTTCGTGGGATCAACAGGCTTCTGGGTCCTGATCGCAGTGTTGGTGCTGATAGCCCTGGTGCTCTGTTACCTCATCTACCGCCAAAAGAAGGCAAAGAAAAGTCAGGCAACGAGTAATTCAATTTCAAAGGAAAACCTGAACTCCCGGAGCTCGTCAGCGACAGGTAATAGTGAGGGGACCTCACGGTTTGGCTTCCCTGGAGTGCTGGATGACCAAGCCAGAAGACCAAGCCTGGGTGCCCACGTAATGCCGGTTATACGAGAAGCTTCCATCAGGTCAAAATCAAGCGAAGACAGTAGCTCAGCTAGTGAAAAATCACAAGAAGCTTATGATGTGCAACAGGAAAATGATCCAAAATCGATTGTTGAACCCGGAGAAAAGCAGCAAACAAACTCCGAAAACTTCGACGGGTCCAAACCAAAGGCAGACTCGATACAAATCCAGCAAGTTTCATCAAAACCAAGGTTCTCAGTTGCTGAATTCACTCAGCTGTAGTATTGTTGTATAACGTCAACCTATGTACAATTGTACATCCATGTAGTATAATTTTTTTTAGGAATATGAAGTGTAGTATGATAATATCATTAATTTTACTATTCATAAATATAGTCCGAGAGCTTTTAGTGCCTAATGTTCAACATTACATATTAATATGATGGTTCTAGAAATAAAAATTGTAATCATTTATTCCGACTTTTCTAAATATGTTTACTCCGACCATTGTATTTACCTTCCAGTATATGGTGAAGACGATATTGGGTCCCTTATCTCAAGTGACATATGCTGGTAATGATTATAAATATTCGAATGAAGCTAGAAAATTATGCATTTTACATTCACATTCATTAAAATAATCATTCATTGTGGCATTTAAAACTGAGTGGCATCATAACACAAGCTCTACATACAAACAATATTAAACCAAGCGCATTTCAAGTAAAAAGCAACACATTTTTGGAAGTAAACGCCATGAGAAGACGGAGGTGCACCCTGCTGTTACGAATTAGGTAGGGTATTAAAATACCAAATTACAATCGTGCACATACTGCACAAACTTGACTCTTGACAACGCACTTGCATGCTCTCTTGACAACGCACTTGAAAGCTCATATGACAACGTACTTGACAAGGCACTTGATAGTTAACAGCACTCTCGGTAAATCACTAACAATACTCGGACAAGATTCATGAAGTTCACTTCAGATCGCATCACGTTTAGACTTCGACGCCAGTCAAGGAAAAGCAAACAAATGTCAGTTCTATATAGATTGTGTTGGTCTCAGCCTACCTTGCAGTTGCCAAACATTCATGGCATAACCTCAAGAAATAAAAAAATTTTATTAAAGCGAAACTAAATAGTAATTAATATTTTAAATATATAAGTAGACTGACAACATGAAATGTTAATTGTTGACAAGTCGCAACACCTAAAAATATTGCATAATAATAGACCACAAATCATAATGTAGAATAACGGAAAGAAACATTAACAATAAACTCGTTCATCGAAAATTCTCATTCATCAAAAATTGAAGAAGATTTGTAAAGAAATATTGCGTAACTACACATTCGAATTTGAGTGCTCCCATTCGAACTAAGAAATGGCTGCAATAATGCCAACATTTTCATGCCACAAGTATCTCTACATATAATATACCTTGCGAAATAATGTTATTACTTTAAAACGCTCGTAATGCCACTGCGACCTACAAAATAAATTAGCTGCTAAATAAAAACACAAATACACAAGTAAATGTAAATTCATCTTAGGCGTATAATCATCACCCCGGGTGAGCGTAAACATTTCATCCTCTGCATATAATCATCAGATTGTTATATACCTAGTAACTAAACCTCTTATTAAAACATAAAAAATCTCCCATTTGCAGATTGAGCACGAGATAAAATCCTATGATTGAATATATTTTTTTGGTGTTTTTCGATTTCAGTAATAGAAAAAGAATATAAAGGAAGTAAACTCCGTACCACCCGTAAAATGTATAATGTACGCGTTTCTGTATAAAATAAATATAGCCTTAAACTTAAAAAACTTCTAAACTCTTTAAGTCTTATGACTTATAAACTTGAAAGCAAAACTGAACCCTCAAAATATTTATTCCCATTTTACAAATAATTTAAAACTATCACCGGCAATATCCGAACGCGTCATGCAAACACGCGCAGCATACAACCTTCAACCGCCGCGCACACTCGGAAAATTAATGAGAAACATTGTCCATATAGTGACGCACTTTACGCACGTAGCACTGATACGCCCTTTTGATACACCAAACTGGGTCAGGGTGACACACAAAAAGACAAAAAGTGAATCGTTATTTGGACAAAGTCCCCTCACTTCTCTGAGTGCACATAAGACGGTGTTACGAGGACCCGAAATCATCGACAAGGACGAAAAGACGCGTGTTAAAATATTGAATTTTACGGACAAATGTTTTAATTAAATAGCACATTGTGAGAGAGAATTGCAGAACATTGATATCTAGTTGACATAAATCGAATGTCGGACCCAGAAATAAGACGTCCGTTTATAATAAAATAAATAATCTCGGCCTTATCTTGGTATCCGCGATTGACACGTGAAAGTCACTTTAATATTCTGGAATTCTAACGTACAATATCGGGATTTATCGATTTAAATTAACAATAATTAGTGTTTCAGGGTCTGATTAACTTCAGTGAGATGAACAACATATAAGAACTATAACAAAGCATTTCTGATTATAATCACTGATTGTTCATTATTTACAAAACTAACACTCCACTATTGAAGTAATATTCACAGCTTGAATACAACTATTATAATAATCTCAGAACAGCATCTGTTTTGCCCATCAAATCGAATTATTTTGGGACTAAAAAAGAAGCTTTGAAAACAATCAAACGAGAAAAAAAATCAAACGAGTTTATGAATTGCATAAAAATTGTCGACTCAAGGAAGGGAAACTGTTCCGTCAATGAGGTAACCCAGCGATTTCGCATTGATTTCTTCATATAATAATGCAATAATGGCATAAATGTTGTACGTGCTTTATTTGTCGTGATTAATTCAAGTATTAAATGCTAAAATATTCAGAGAAAATATAATGAAAAATACCCAGAAATCATACGATATCAGAAAACATTTCCTCCTAGCCTAGTGGCAACGAAATATTGATCGTTAAATTATACTATGATAAGTACGAATTACTGGTAATTAAATCATCAAGAAATAAGTAAATTAAATCAATTAGTTTTCCGCCATTACGGGCTAACAGATTAATGATTAATTAAACACATATTAAACACATATATTAGCCTTTTATAGCTGTTGCTCCAGCTCCGTAAATGTTAATTACCCAAATATAATGATGAGAATTTAACTTAATAACTTAATTAATTCGCTTACAGCTTAATTACCTCGTATCATGTCATACAAATCATACTGCCACAGTATCATGCCATGGACTGATACACTGATTAGCCACAGTATCATGCCATAGACTGATACACTGATTAGCCACAGTATCATGCCACGAACTGATACACTGATTAGCCACAGTATCATGCCATGAACTGATACACTGATTAGCCACAGTATCATGCCATGAACTGATACACTGATTAGCCACAGTATCATGCCATTAACTACTCATCATGATCCCAACTTGCATAGACATTTCCTCGCAGCCTCTCATTAAGATGGTCCTGACAATGTAAGCGCCATGTCGCTGATTTTCGGTGAAAGTGGAGACGTTCAAGTGAATTTTGCCGTCAAAAGATCACAAGATTTCAGAATTCGACATCCTCATCGAATCAGAAAGATAAATTCCATTATAAATTCAGACACATGACATGAAACGTAGGATACTTTTCACTTATGAATAATTCATTCACATTCATTTTGTTAAGAAACGTACGAATACAAAACGTAAAAAGAATGCCTGACGTCGCAATTAATTGAACGTGTATGACAACAAAAAATAATCCGGATATTAAGAAATATGTGAGGTTCACAAAAGCGATATTAGAACAGATAAAAGAAACAATGAAACGAAACGTCTTCGCTACAAGACTCGTGTTACTTATAATGAAATTATGGCAGTTAAGGGAGGGCAGTTTGTTGACCTCACAACTTTCTTATAACCTAAAATCATCTGCAACTTAAATATAAAAATTACAAGCCATCAGCAACCTGTGCGTCTGAAGGAAAATATATGGATGCTTTTATGCTTTTTTTATCCACATATTTTAAAAAAATTTAAAAAAAAAAAAATTTTAAATTTTTTAAAAATTTTTAAAAAATTTAACAGCACATATTTTAAAAAAATATGTGGATGCTTTTAAAATTTCCCGACAGCGATAAAGAGCAAAGAGAAACAAATGATGAAATTCAAACGATTTCGGTCAACCTAGACAAAGACTAATGTGATGTGACTAATTGGATACAAAACACAGACTAATTCATACAAAACCTAATTAGACACATAACAAAGACTTAATCGCAACAAAATACTGCAAAAATACATTCAAAACAAAGCCTGAATTCCAATAAAATACAGAAAATTTATATCAAAAAATAAAGGAATATTAGATACACAGCCAAATCGAATACAACAGCAAGACTAATTGGATCAAATGTAGCATAATTGTAGTAAACATCGCCTAGTTAGGTACAACAAAAATTATTATTACAAACAAAGAAAAATTCATCCAGATATGATATTACGCCTAATCAGTGTAGCCTAATTAGTACAGCCTAATTACGATGAGTTGATGCAAGTAGTTAGGGATCACAGATTTCATCACAAACCAATAACAGGTAATCAACGGATCAGTCTAATCAACCAATAAAATATCAGTAGCATCAGTAATACAATGAAAGACCATGTCAAAAACCTTTTAAAATACAGATTCTAATTATTTCGCGGCTTAAAAATAAGCCATACAAATTTAAAACAACGTAACGATTACAAATTCTTAAATGATTTATATTAATCAAGTTTACACATTAATTATTTAACTATTCATTAATTTTTTCCGCCGTTTGTACTTAAGGAGAACCCAATCACAACCTAAAGCAAGAAATTTAACATATTCATAATAAATTTTAAAACAAGTTCTGTGCTATTAACAAATGATCACATTATTTCACAGGTATCAAATGAAACATATTCCATGTACAGGAAGAGCACAAAAAATACGTTAGACGACATTTAATTCGTGGAAATATAAGCCAATTCGTGAATTGGTATCAAGCAAACGAATGAACTCTTGAGTTTACGTTACGAATTTATTTCGTAGTGCAGAAAAAAATGAAAATGAGACCATTATCATTCGCTCATCTCGACGTTCCTACATTACCTGGGGCCATACTTTCAAAACTCGCAAAGTGAACGTAAGTACTTACGCTCTATTTTCTTGTCTATGATTGGTGGATTTTGCTTGAAAGGCCGTCAATGATTGGCTGATGAACTTACGATCTCTTAACTTTTTCTGAAAGTATGGGCCCAGGACTCTATTGTTAAAAGACAGGCACCTACATAACAATATCAGGACGTTCTTACACGTACAATACCCGCATCTTGTGTACAACATCCTGACGTTTATTACAATACCCGCACCTGCATCACAATATCCTGACGTTCATCACAATATCCGTTCCCCATC